GCAGTAGCAGTAGCAGTAGCAGTAGCAGTAGCAGTAGCAGTAGTAGCAGCAGCAGCAGGAGTAGTAGTAGTAGTAGTAGTAGTAGTGGTAGTGGTAGTGGTAGTGGTAGTGGTAGTGGTAGTGGTAGGGGTAGTAGGTAATCAGCGTTGAAAATAACCCCAACAACCAGAAATGCAATGATATCATACAAAGGTATCATAAGTTCCCCAACTGGGCACCTGTCAATCATGATGATAATGACAGTATGACCCAAATAGAAACAAAAATATCATGATGATAATGATAAGTATGACCCAAATAGACACAATGGTATCATGATAATAATGACAGTATAACCCAAATAGACACAACAGCATCATGATAGTCATGACAATATAACCAGAATAAAAAGGCCTCATAATGCGCATGATACCGCAAGCTGCAAGTGCTCTGGGGTGCGAGTGCTTGTGGTTGAACATCAGTGCCACGTTAATCGTTCTTAATTTCCCTGCAGGTTCAAATTTTGTACTATCGGAGTAGCGAGTTGGACTTCCACTCGCAGATGGCTGGTGGGGGCATGCCAAAGAAGCATGCGTTGGGGTCACTGCTCAAGCTACACATGCATTGAGCAACCATGTAGATGAAGCTCAGTGGCGGCACTGGACCGTTCAGGCTGACAAATGTCTGGAGTGTGGAGGACTTCTGAAGTTTCGCTTGGCCTGAAAACAATGTTGGGACGAATTCTTGCATCGCCTCGATTGTGGACGCAAACATGGCGTCCGAAAACGAGGCGATACAAGATTTCACCGGCGCTCAAATTCATTGTGCTTGCCAGCACTTTCAGGGCCTCAGGCATGTGCGTGTCGTGTTTGTTTTTTTTTCCCTGCCGGGTGCCTGGTGGTAGTAGTAGTCGTAGTAGTAGTAGTAGTAGTAGTAGTGGCAGCAGCAGCAGCAGCAGCAGCAGCAGTAGTAGTAGTAGTAGTAGTAGTAGGCGGACGAGGAGGAGGAGCAGGAGCAGCAGCAGCAGCAGCAGCAGTAGCAGCAGCAGCAGTGGTAGCAGCAGCCGTCGCAGTAGCGCGAGCAGTAGCAGTCGTCGTAGCAGTCGTTGTCATGCTAATCGTCGCAGCAGCTGTAGCCAAAGCAACCAAACTCGGGCAGTGTAGGAAATATTTCAGAGAGGTTGATAATGTCAGATGGCAGCGGCGGAAGTTTTTTTCTTATCAGGAGGTTTATCGACATTTTCCGCTTTTGCGGAAGGTCTTCTGGGATACGGGCAAGAAAGTTGCGCACCAGTGAAAGTCAAGGAATGATCTGTCTGAGGATGGCTCTACAGCCTGCACAACGATTTCTGCTGGTTCCTTGCACTGGTTTGAGTTATCTCAAGCTTTCACGACACAGTGCCGGCAAGGTTGAGAGCAGCTTTGCCAAACTGGGGCATAACAGGCTCCAGCTCCAATCCAAGGTGATGCCGGCACGCCGGTCAGCTGCTCAGCGTGCTCTGCCCAACCCGATTGCCCGCCGCAGTGCAGCTCTGCCACCTTTGCCTGCACTTGCGCCGCGCTACCGGTGAACTGTATGTGGGAGACGCCCTGGCACAAGTTCAGACAAGCCGGTTTTTCCTTGCGGGCGGATGAGTTTTTCGTTGGCACTGCATATGGACAGCAAGCTTCGGCTGAGGAACGGCTTGTGCAAATCCTCTGGCGGTGGCACCAGCAATATTCCCTGCAGTGCTTGTGTTGTGCAGGATTCAGCTGGGGATTCCCGCCTTGCTTGTGAATGGTTTCGAGGCTCAAGCAGTTCCAAATCCAAGTTGCTCGATGTCTTTCAGGACAAGTGCCAGGCAGCGCGCCCACGCGCTGTGGACTTCGGGCCAAAGAGACTGGGCAAGAAATCACACAGCGCATCATTGTTCGCCACATCCTGCAAATCCAGTTGGGAGGACTCGCGTGTGATTTGAACAGGCCAGACCCACTCGTTTGTGTTCATGACTGTGACAAGCAGAGTGCTACTGTGAGTATGCCACAAAATCAAACAATGCTTCCCAACATTTGACAATTTTCTTGCTTAGGTTCTTACAGTGAGGGCCGGGGGCTGAAGGGAATGGGCAGATACATGGCAACACATTCTGGGGCACCCAGTGCCATCTCTGATTTTAAGGGGTTTGTAAGTCACCCGCGATTTTATCCCATAGACATGCGCTGAGTGTGCCTTCTCGCACCTTGGCAAACATGCCTTAGCTTCAAACATTTGCCTGCAAAGACTCTACTACCACAAGCGCAAGTTTGGTATTGCAACGATCAAAACCAACTTCAAGCGCTTCACTGAGTTCATGGCATTCACGAGCTGAGGAGCATCTTCGCGTTGCCGCGTCAGGGGACCTTGTCCATCATAGACGCTCAGGTCAACAAGTTTCCAAGTTCAATTTCAAGATGGTTGGGGGTGAAACTCAGGCCGAGTTGTCAGTGTAGTCACACAATCCCGAGTAGTTGTCTGCCAACATTGCGTGAAGACGGTTTTAGCGGCGTGAAGCCCGAGGAAATCACCTTCAACACGGCTTTGGGGCCTTTGCGCGCAGCGCGTGGTGCAGTACGCTTCGTTTGCGGAACAGAAGGTCGTGAGCCGACACGGACAGATGGGATGGTAGAGTGGACACGATGCATTGATATTGAGTCAGGCGCAAGTTTTTGTGTGCTGTTGTTTGGCGGTTAGCGTGTCCCTATCAGTTGTGACTCGGGGATCAGTTGAAACCTTGACACGTCGTTTTTTGATTTGGCACCTGTGGTTGGTGGAGGCGCGTATAAACATGTGTAGATGACGTACCAGTACCAGGACGTCCGTCGGATTGCTGCAGTACACGGTGCCTGTCTTAGTTGTTCACGGAGGTATGGCGGCGTGGTGTCTGCTTCTGCAGCTGCAGTCACTGAGGTTCCAGGTGATGGGCTCTCGGTCGAAGGAGAAGTTCTCAAAATTGCATCGGGAACTGTCAGCGTAGCAGAGGCTACATCTTGTACCTTGGTGGCGGAAGACGGCGTTGTGACCAACATAGACGGTTTGCCCTCGCAACCGGTTGAATTTGGATCTTTCGTCTTCAAGATGAAAGACTCCGTCCCTCCCATCATCCAAGCCTTCCTGCCCTCTGCTGGATCTGGATCTGTGCGGCTTGCCCGCGTTACAGGATGCTACAGGCTCTTTGACCCCCCGACTCGCAAAGTGGCATGTGAGTCATGTGATATCCCGAGGTCGCCAGCAACAAAGCTTCTTGACTGCAGCAATTTGGTTTGTCACATCATGCGTTTCGATAGCAGCACGCACCACAATGCCAAGGACTGTGAGCATCACCTTCAACGAGAGGCTTTGGCCCTGCAGGGTTTGACATTCATGTTTTCTCATGGGCACCCTGCAAGGGTCCGCAAGACAGAAGCTTTCGGTGCGGAGCTGACCCTTGTCAACCTGTTTGGTGAGCCTCTGGCTGCGCCAGCACCCATTAATCTGGACAGTGTCAACGAGCGCTTGGTCAAACTGGATGTTGAAGGCCGTCCCGTCTGTGTCACATGGTAGTGCAACTGTTACAGCCGTCTGGTTGCATTGCCTTTGACATTAGGTAAGCTGGAGCCTGGGCGATCCTACCAGCAGCTTGGCTTTAGCACAACAATGGCAGAACTACGTATTGCCAAGTACGCCAAACTCATTCCCATCTGAGTAGTTTCCATAAGAGACCTTGACATCTGCTGCCAGCTGAGGATCACGATCCCAGCGGGGTCTATTGTGGACTATGGAAATCAGCTGTTTCCCGGGCTTGCTGCCGGCGTCTACAAATTTAAGACGGAAGGACTGGAATGCAGTTTTCTCTTGCTGGCCTTTTCTATTCACCTTTCTTGTTGCAGGCCAGCACGATGATGTCGTGGTTGTAGAGGCGCTGGCGACGGGCCCGCCGATTATGCTCCTAGCCACTTGGCCAATGGCATAATGGCATGATCAAGGCACAAGGCACTCTTGCAAACACAGCCGCACCCGAAATCCTGTTCGGCCCAATGCTCCAGTCCGTGATGTTCCAAGTGAACACCAAGAAGTATCAGCAGTCAAGGCTGGAGTGGCTGGCGGTGGCGCAGTGGTAATCCTGGCGGTAGCAACCCTTGCCTATCGTACATATGTTGTGTCTCGAGAGCCCCCGGAGCAGCCTCCTGACTCACCAAGCGAGGCAGGATGTAGCGGAGGTAGTCCTGGCTTCTGAGAGATATCTCAGCGGCAGTCAGCACGTAGCGTTTTTGTTGCGCAGGCTGGGGGCAGCAAATCACCACCAAAAATCCGATTTGACGAAGAGGTGCTACCAACTTTCAAGAGACAATGTTGCCGGCTCAGACAGGTGTGTCTGTGGTGCCTGTGAAAGGCTCTGCGGATACAGCAGTTGGATGATCTCCCGGAGTCTCCAGAAGCCAGGACTGCATGAGCAAGACGAAGGCTTGAGACCCCTAAGACTGTCTCACCTGGCAGGAAGTCCTACAGGTTCGAGGACGACGAAACGAACGAGCCGTCCAACATGCCCTCCAATGAGTTGCGGAAGTCAGCGCAGGTTGGTAGGAAGCTTGTCCTACGCATGCTCATGATGTCTTTTTGGAGGAGGCGGCGGCTGCGCAACGCCGCAGCTCCATCGCAGCTCACATGGATCTTCCAAAAATCCCGACTGGCCCCACAAATCAGCGGCGAGCATCTTTCCATGGCAAAGAAGATGGCAAGCACCACCACCAGCACCACAAAGCCAGTCGCGTCCATCCACCAGCGGACGAGAAAGACGCGGAGAAGCGGCCCAAGAAGGCCTGATGTTGCAATCGGATTCACTCGCTAACTTGTTGTCTTTTGCTCGTTTGCAATCGTCTCCAGGAGCCACCAAAGCTCAAGACCGGCCACTATTTGTCATCGGCGTGGCAAGCATAGTTTCTTGCTGCTTGTTATGAACGCACGCATGTGCGTAGTGTGAAGAGGGGCCATTCGCAAAGCTGCAAACCACCCTCAATTCTCCTGCAAGGGGCAGGGGTTCGGGTGCTTTCCCGAAGGGAATTGAGCAGAAGGATGCACCGGTCATTCCAGTTGGTAGCTTCGGCACGTTCTTACGCAATGTCGTTGTTTTGTGTTGGCTTCGTGTGCACCGCTGACACGAGGAAGTTGTCTGTGTTAGGAAAGTAACGTGCAGAAAGCACATGCACAGGGGGCTGGAGTTTGCTGGATCTCCTCGTTGCGGCGTTTCTGCGTCTGAACCACTGCACGAGTAAAGGGAAGGACCTCTTGAAGGCAAGTCCGAACTGCTTCTTTTGGAGCATGCTATGGACTGCTTGTGCTAATAGCGCAAAACAGCCCACATCAACCTGACCAGAGGTCAGAAGTGTGTTTAAGTCGGGCAAGTGCGCCAAGTGCCCTGCCACGTCTCCTAAGCATACCGTGAAGTTCGCAAGTGGTTGAGTCTGTTCGGTATGATAAGCTATGTAACACTGCAATGGCAGAAGGTTTTTCCAGTCTTGCCCAGACTTCTGTTCTGAAGAAATTTTAAAGGCTGTCCGCTCAGGGCGAGGGCCAATCCGGCTTCGTCATGATTGTGCGATGCCGAAACTCTGCTTGTAGCTTGGCTGTTTTTTTTTTTTTTGGCGCTACTGGCCAGCTCGATTCCGCCAGGGCTCGAAGCTCATCATGCTTCTCTCGGCCCCAGGAAGTATGAACATCAGCACGCATGGTATCAGAGACGGGCAGCATCCAAACGACTTCTGGTTACCTGTAGAGATTGTCCTCATGGTGGTTGTTGGCATAGTACAGGGGGGTTTCATGCACAACAAGGCCTGTCGCCCGGAATGGTTGATCGGAGAGGAAGTTGAGTTGACAGTGGTTTCAAAGAATTCACGAGCCATGGCCGTGACTGCGTCCCTTGTCTTCTGGCTTCAAGGCGCGGTGCCCAATGAGAAGAGCCACAGGGCCAACAGGGACAGCTTCTGAGAACCAAGACCAGAGTTCCTTCGCTCAAGCTTCCGCATCCCAAAATGTACGATGGTCCCTCGAGGCGAACCCTGAAGTAGCCATTCTGAGAAGGTGTCAGCTCAGAGCTGCCGCGTCATCTCCATGTCTTCAGGACGTTGAGCAATTGCAGTCCAAAGTGCCATGGTTGGTGAGTTGTTTATCCCTTGTCGTTTTCAAGAATCATCACTAATTGGGGATTTGCTATCACTGGAAAGTACTGCCAGCGACAGGGTTCTGAGATGCTTCCTGACCAAATGTTGGAGAATCATGGGCCGGGAACACGCTGGGCAGGAGGCAACAAGATGAGCGACACGAGTCAGGAATCAGCAATCATGGGCCACAGCTCACGAAACATGCCACAATTGCATACGCTCGCAGCAGCACTCTATCATGTGGTGGTCATGGCAACGCCCCAAGTATCTCAAACCACATCTTCAAAGCCCCACACGCTTTTCTCTCTTACCCACGCACACCCCACCCTACGCCACCCCACGCCACCCTATGCCACCCAACGCCACCCTACGCCACCCTACGCCACCCTACGCCACCCTACGCCACCCTACGCCACCCTACGCCACCCTACGCCACCCTACGCCACCCTACGCCACCCTACGCCACCCTACGCCACCCTACGCTACCCTATCTTACACGACCCTATCCCACCCCCCCTACCCTATCCTACCCGACCCTTCCTGCACGTACCTGCTCTGGCTGTTGTGATGGCATATCTCGATGGAAAAGTTTTGGCAGGTAGGGCAGGGCAGGCTAAACGCAGCCCATGTATTTCAGATTCTAGCTTTTGTGGGATCCCGTCACTGTAAACGGGCTTCGCAGCTGAGTTTTTGTAGGGTGATCCACGAGAGGACTGGTCAAGAGTCTACATTTGGTAATACAGAGATAGGGTGTCCCGGATCAGCCGCTACAGTAGTTGCAATCGTAGCCTACCGCGATTGCAGGAGTCAAAATCTGCTTGACATTTCTAGCCTGCAGCGCCATCCTCAGGTAAAGCGAGTGAGCCTTTGCTTGGCTGGATGTTGTGTTTGCTGCGTTGGTAGTCCCAAACCGATAGAGTACGATTTGAACATATACGATGACTTGGCCTTTTCGACCTAATGCTGAAGCAATCGCATGAATGATATCGCGAAAAATCTTTCTGCGATGCAGCCTCATGATATGTGTCAAACACCACAAGCCACTGATAAAGCTCACACAAGTGCTGTACTGGACTTGCGTAGAAGAAGGGCACCTGATACTGAAGGCTTGCAGAAGTTCATGCTGCCAAATATTTGTACGACTGAGGCAGATGAGCGCTGGAAGCGTAAAGGGACTAATCACGGCTGTGGCCTCAGACTTGAACAGTGAAAACTTGGCTGAATGTCGCTCCTAGGAAGAGCACTGACAGACAAATCAGACAATTCTTGAACATTTCGGCCATCACTGGAGCGCCTGGAACTAGCGGTAGGTGTCGGAAGGTCTGACAGCCCAGGTAGAACGTCACGAATCTCGCAGGCTCCAAAACAGGAAGCCTGCAGACCTGCAGTTTTTAACTCAGGCACTCAAGCAAGCCGGAGCTGACCGTACAGAGTTGAGGCGCCATGGTGAAAGCATCTCCTTGCATGTTGAAGGACTGAAAGATGGGTGAAAATGGGGTTGACAGATTTTTGAGGGTGCTATGATTTAGGCCTTGGTTTGTTTGCGTTGTCAACGTGCGTCGTTGGAATCACTACAGTATTAAGCTGGGCTTGCAGAAGCCTTTAGTCAGGGCAGCGCTTTGTTCGACTGCCTGTGTTCTGCTGCGTAGGGCGCTGCAGACGGCGCTGCAGTCAAATAAGCTGGGAACCCAGCTTATTGGCATGGCACTAGAAGTCGAACGCTAGCTCGTGTTGTTGCTAGGATCCAGCGAATCCAGCCCGGCCTGCAAGGCCGGTCAAATCTTGCTCTCACGAAGTGGTTTCGGTCCTTGTGCAGGCTCTGGAATCATCGTGTGGTCAGACGAGGCCAGACAGCACCCGCAGGAGAATCAATTGCAGCTCCGGCGGGCTGCGATGTGGTTTGAAGCACGTCGTGCTGCCGGGATTGGAAGACGAGGGCCCATAATCTGCACTTTTTTTGTTTCAGCTTGGTTTGCAAAGTTGGCTTGTTGTTATTCTCAGGGCCTCTGACATGAAGAGCTTGTTCCGTGCTAGCATGTCAGCAAACAGAAACAAAGCCTTTGCATGCTGCCTCATTTGTGATCAAGACACGCTCAACGGCGACATCGCCAGGAAAGCTGCATCAAGCAAATCAAATACAAGGATTCTGCATGATGCTTGCATGCACCACGTGCTCACATGACTGCAGTTGACCGACATCGGCTCCTTTGGGCCTCTTTCCAGGGCTCATGCATGCGAACTGGCAGTGCGCAAAGCTGCATTTGGAGGCCGATTTCGTGGAAGATCTACGACCAAAGAGTCCGCTGGTGGTTGTTCCGGGAAGAACCTGGAAGGCATGTCGGGTTTTGGCAGTTTAAGGAAGTGACACAGTTCGAACAGGCAGGCTAGCTGCAGTCACATGCCCATGATAGTTCACTTGCTTAGCACTGCTTTCTTAAGAGTCTCAACTGCTCTCCAACAATTGTTTATAGTCTATTCAAGTACCAAAAGATCCAATGCAAAGCGCTATGGCTGTCCCTGGCAGTAGCCAGCATAGAGCTTTCGCGAGGCCCCGGCCTCCACGGAGTGGCATTGGGATGATGATCCGCGCCCAGCTTGGCACAGCCTCGCACGGCACAGGGGCATCGAATGCCAGGCAGTTCTGTGCAAAGCAGAGCAGAGACCATGGGAGCTGGACAGGGCGTATTGGTGGGAAGTCGTTCAACATGCTCTGGCAAACATGAGGGGGACAGAGGAGCCTTGAATCCGAATGCTTGGAACTCCAGGCTCCACCCTTGACCTTAAGCTCCAAATTCCGAACAATGTCCCGGTTCGGCCGTCCATTTTGCTGCGTGTTTCTGCTGGTCAGATGAAATTTCCGTGCTCACCATGCAGAGAACGCGAATTGAGCGGTGGTGTGCATATGTCAGCTTCCAGACGTTGCACATGATTGCATCCAAGCAGGTCAATGACACCAGATATGGCTCTGATGGCTATGCTTCAGGCTGGAAGAGGGGTCGCGGCTGCGCTGCGCCATGATGCGCCGCGGCAGCAGGCGGCAGTCAGGTCCTCCCGCCACAGCTTTGATCCTTCTTGGCAGGGCTTGATACCCATTTTCTGGAATTTATGCTCAGTTTGTTGGTGAGCAGAGGTTTGGGCCTGACCCCATCATTGGTGGGAAAACTACATAGCGGCCAGCAGGGTGAGAACGGGGCTAGAAGAATGTAGTGAGCATTGGCCTCGTTCCGTGCCTGCAAAAATGAGAAGGCCAAGCTTGCGCGCTAGAAGTAACCACCAACAGGACTGCGGTTGTCTTCGCGCGCCAGTCTGAACCATGCCTGATTAGCATAGATGCTGGTGCATCGCCATAACCTGGCGATTCTAAGCGAGGTCTTTCATGAGCCAAGGGGCCAAGGCAAAGTCATAAACTCATGCAAGTCGGACTGACAACAATGCTGCGGGGTGCATCTGACATTCTACTTGGTGGAGTGCAGAGTCAATGAAGGTCAAGACGGCGGGCTGCCTCTGCGACTGCGGCTCCCTGTGCGAAGGCGGCATAGGGTTCAGGTTGGGGGTGTTGAGGCAGGTGTGGTACAGCTGTCGTGTCAGGCTGCGGAGTGTGCTTGCGGCTGGCAGTGTCGTTTTTTGCATACAAAGTTGTGGCAGGCTTTGTCGCAGGTCAGCGTGTCTGATCAAAGGATTCGGTAAGGGTTTGCATCGGGTGCGTCGTCAGAGACATCAACGGTGCTTAGCAGGTTAGCGGTGACTGTTGTTGTAGCTGCCACATGAACAGCAATGGCAGATCATGTCTTGCGTGAAACTTTTGAAAACAGTCGAGTCGCAAGGTGTGAGAAGGCGGAATCCTCACTTACTTCACGTTGTCCCACTGCCACGCTGGAGCTCACACCAGACCTGACGGGTTGTAGAGGATGCAGAGGGGAAGCCTTCAACAACAAGAAATCGAGCCATGTAGCAAGATCGTGGTTCTGTTGGGGACTCCATCGTGACCCACAACAGGCAGAAGCGAAGAGCAGGAAATGAACCACAAAACATCTGAAAAACTTCGTTTTGGAGCCTTCCCGGAACTGTGCCAAAGAGAGCTGCTGAGGAGCTGGCACCTCGGCCTCCCTTCCAGGGATATGCCACTCGGCTTTGAACCGCACACGGCAAAGAAAGAAACAGTTTCCCAGCAGAGCTGAGGGCCGCGTTCTGCAACCGGGTAACGGGTCTTGCTGGCCTGATTCCTGAAACAATTAAGGGCAACGTGGATTCCTGACAGCCAGGTTCCGACGCAGCTGCTACTGCGGCTTTCACACTTTCTGACAGTCGCCCATCTGTGACAGAAAACAAGCTGTTTGCCAGCAATCTGCGGCTACATGTCTGTGAGCATGTAAGGGACAACATGCAGGCTTTCCACGTTCTTCATCCAAAAGCTAGTGCTTCACTGGTTCCACGGCTCCCAGGAACATCTCACATCATTTGAACCAGAGTAGAGTTACCACTAAAGAGTGCCCGGGAATCCTTTGCGACTCCGAGAACGGCAGCATCTAAGCCTCTCACATATGCCTTCCAACCACTGGACGGTGTGTGAACACCGAAGAACTGTCAGTAGGGCACTTTCTTGTCCCGGGCGGCTTCCAGCAGGGCGGGCGGCTCAATTTTCCAGTTTGCTGGCCCTAGCCATCAGTCAAGCTGGTATGTGATGACGCTCTTAAGACACGAAGCAAACCATCTCATGCTAAGGGAAACGTGGATTCGGCTTCCATCGTCTACTCCCTCTTAAATCCTTGTTCCCAGCCTATCAGGTATTATTCTCCTGTGCGTCATTATGTCTGACTCGGCTGATTTGACGACCCCGCTAAAAATCCATCCGAGGCAAGCATGTCCTACTCAAACAAGATTTCTGCTGCAGCGCAATTGGTGCTGGCCTTGTGACAGACTATGTTTTCAGCGGACCGTCAAAGATGGACGGCTTTCTGATGCCTTGATATCATTCACTTGCCGATATCCGATACTGATTCAGTCGTTTGTTCAAGAGGATTGTGCCATGGGTTTTGGCGTTGGCTTGCTGCGGCAAGTCTCGCGTAGCAGACGTGGCATAGGAGAAGTCCTGGCCGTGCTAAGGTTCATGAGGATGAATTTCGACGGATGCTCGAGCCTGGACGGAAGAAGCACGACAAGTTGATTGGCAGGCACCCTATGCCGACAAAGTTGAACTCTTGATGCGGCGTTGGCCAAGCTATGATCCGTTTATCCTGCCAAGATTGGAGGGAAGTTACAGTAAAATGATTGGTCAAGCAGGGCTCATCCAGAGGTCTGGCTTTGTGGGATGACGGATTCTCTGTGTGCATGAGATCAATTTGAAAGTGACTTCTGGTCGCCCCAGCCCGGGCACAAGGATTTGCTTTCCAGCAGGGAGTTCCAGTGCGCACTGTGTATTTTCACATTCTCCGCTCAGGCCGAGCAGCTCATGTAAGGTCGTCTGGAGTTCGCGAGAAAGTTAGCGCCAGATCTTGGACCCGGGGTTTCTGAAGGATAAATTGCTTCCTATTTCTAGTTGAAATCATGACCAGACACTGGATTCTTAGTGTTCCTCGCACAGTTCATGTCACTACAAATCAGGACCAAGCAAAACGGCGGGTACGTGCGCTTGCATAGTGGGTCAGCAATACCGTGCACTCTGGACATCAATCTACAACTGGGAAAACCGACCACAGCCAGTTGCATACGACCTGGAGGCCTTCTGCAGAATCAGGAAGAGCGGCTTGAAGTCCTTGAAACGTAGGACAAGTCAGAGCGTTCATGAAGGCCTGGGCTGCCAGATGCAGCCTTCCAGTCTAAACCTGAAATCTGAAATCCTTCTCAACTCCGAACCGTGAGTCGCCAAAAGGTCCTCTTGCTGTTGGCCTAGGCAAGGAGAAGTATAAGCTTGTGCAGCCTTCGAGTGCCAGGCTGCCAAAAGGTCAAGAATCGCCTTTTGGCGACTTTCCACCAGACTACACGCGACCTGGGGATGACGAAAAGAGGCCTCTCGCAAGACTTGTGCTTGCAAGGTTGTCATTGGACCTGCTGCTTGAGCCTGTCGTAGGTCCCTGGGCCTTCAACTCTCGGGCACAGCAACACTGACGCCGCGGAAATCAGCGGATCAGGACCAGAACCTGGAGCACGCTAAGGTTGACTTCGCATCAAGGACTACACTCACATTTATAAATCCTGCTGCCAGAACACAATTATAGCAAGCTCCGCAATTATAGAATCCGGAAGAACATGGAACAGCATAGTTTTTTCGGGGCAACAATTTTAGTTTGGCGTTCATTGACTCTAGAGCCCAGACAGGGGATGGATCAGGAGGGGGGTTCATTAATGCGAAGCTAACATTATCTGGCACACGCTGGGCAAATTCGCCTCACACCACCGTTTGCAGGCGCTGCCCTCAGCTCGCAGCTCACTGCCGTCAGCGCGCAGTACGGATGGCAAGACGCCGCGTACAGCTCGCGAGATAGAGAGGCATCAAGTGGTATTAAATTAGGAGACTGGTGCCAAGATATCGCTTGCGCAATTTTGACAGGATGACACCTCGCGATGGTGCCTTCTCCAACACGGCGCCAAAGCACCTGCGCAGGCAATCAGCATCATTACTGCGACAGCATGCGCACCTTGTGTCCTCTGTCAGTCTGGGCCCTCCCGCAGCTGGGGCCTTTCAGAAGCCCGAGCCTGAGTTGTCCCTTGGAACACCACTCCATTGCTGCCGGTTTCACTGCTTAGCCTGCATATCCCTCGCATAGCCTTGAGCTCGCAAGACTCCAGGCGACCCATCGAGCCTTCGGAGTTTAGAAGATTTTACGACCGGAACGACTTGCCCATCCAGGCTTGCAGAAGAGATTTTGAGTTGATCCAACTGTCGGGATGGATATGAATATTATGTTGATGGCAAGATTGACAGAAAGTGTGGTACTGGATGGATTACTGCTCTATGCCAGATTATGCACACGGGCACGCAGAACAGGATTGCGTGGAAGGTCCTCGCCTTGTGAGATAGGATTTCGATGACTCACGAGAAATGGGCGTCGTGTCACAACAGTGCTCAGGTTGATGTAGAGAAGCTGGACTACCACCACTATCTTCCTATTTTCTTCGACGGGCCACATGCCAGCACCACTCCCAAGTAGAGTGATGTTGTTGTTTCGATGGAGCTCAGGTTGCGCGAAAAGGAGGAGCCATATCGCTTCTTCGCTGTGGAGGGTGTGTATAATCTCCTGGAGAAGGCGCATCAGATCATTAAGTCGTTGTGTTAGGGTGTTGGCACAGGCACAGGCACAAAGGGAATCAAGTAACAGCGCCAGGGCGGGTCCAAGATCCTCCCGGTGGTGCCGCAGCTCATTATCCCCATCAAGAAGGCAACTTCTTGAGCCTGGAAAATCTTCCCCTGTGATCCCTGTGATGATGCTTTTCTTTCTGCAGGCGCTCAACACGTGGGCCTGGCAGATCTTTCCTCTGTGTGGTCCGTCATCACCTTGTACTTGTCCATCCTTGCAGCATTAGAGCTCCTTTGCGATGGGGCCAGGCGGGATATTGAAGTGATGGTGACGACCATGAAGGCACTGGAGCCGGATAGCCTAGCTTGGTTTCTGCATACACTGGTTCAGAGTTAGGCGCAACCTGTGGCAGGTGCTGCAGACGCTGGTTCTGTCGGGGGAGATGGTGGGAGAGGCGCAGCTGCAAGAACTGTTTGCAGGCAGGTCTGATTCGGCTGCTCGCCTCAAACTTTGGCATTGCTCAAAAAGAGCGGTTGGGTCATAAGCGAGGCTAGCGCATACTGTAATGCTGTCGGACCATGGATAACCATGGCAAGGGTACACCAACCAGACTATTTTCTGGTTGGGGCGGTAACGGTGTCAGCACCTGGCTGCCTCGTCTAGGGGCCGAGGTTGAGCGAGCTTTGACATGCTTTGTCGAACAGTGCGCAGCACACTAAACTTTTGACAGGCTCTGGTGCCCTACTACCGCCAGATCTTGCCGGCAAGCTCTCCCTGTTTGAGGGGTGCAGGTCTTGCATGAACATGGTTTACTGTTTGTTTGGCTCGGGCATAGGCCTCTTTGACAGTCTAGTAAGACTTGTCTTCATGGACCTAGACTCAAACTCTAGGTACTGAATATCTTCAAGTCGGCCACGAAGAGCACCTTCGACCAGATGGCCTGCGCCCCGGTATGTTCTACCTTTCACTACCGTTCTGTACGGCAGTCCACGATTACTCGTTCTCGGAATTCTGCATGTCCTGTACGGCTGCTTGCGTTTTTGGGCTACTCAACGGGGCCGGCACCCTGGCCAGCTTGTTTCAGAAAGACAAGTTGAATTCACGATGTGCAAGGGCAATGCCCGCGCTTGACTTTTTCGATGTAAGGCGTATGTCTTGTGTGGGTAGGGTTGCTGGCCACGCCTTTTCCTTGACTGCCAACACAACTAAACACGACAGAACGTGACAGCAGACATGGCAGTAGTTCCTAGTCTTGTCGACAGCCATCGAACCATGACAAGTCTCACACTCGCTGCTGCCATCGTTGGCTCCTGCAGGATTACTCGCAGCGCAAGCGAATGGACATCGGGGCACTCATCGACGAGACCCTGGAGAGCTTGTACATGTGACAGTATCCATTCCCATCCCCGGCTCAAGCAGTTCTTTGTTCCCATTGCAAATCGTAAGTACGCTGTTGGTGTGTACGAGGAGATTCTGGAAACACATGGGGGCGAAGATGCCTTCATCAACATCAAGTGCCCTTCGTTGCTTTGCCCTGTGGTTTTCGTCAGCGCATGGGAGTAACGTCGCGTGGAACAGGTACATGATACCAACCTACGAGTCATGTGTATCTGTTTGAGTTGTCAAGCAGGATGAAAACGGAAAGGTGCTGCAGTGCCTGCACGTCTAATAAGTCTAATATATCATTTATCATCAGTTTCATCCTGTGAGGCAGTGCCCCTGCGAATTTACGAAACCAGGAGCACGTAGTTCGACAGATCTCGCCAAACGGTGGAGTCTTTCCAGTTGCCGCTTTGCCAAGACCTCCCAGCACTGCACAAACAACACACATGAAGGCACCGCTTGAAATTCGGATCTATCCAGCTTGCTGTCATGCAGTGCTGTTCGACTCACTGGGTAGTGAACATCGCAGAGCCCAGTGAGAACTTTTACGGACGCCGCTTTTGGAGAGAGGTTCTCATGTAATCCAATGTACTCTCAAGGCTAAGCATTCGGAGGTGAACCTCCACAAGAGTTGGTGTCTTTCAGGTGTGGATCTATTACTTTCACCTGGATGCTCCCAGCCAGCTGTGTTGCTGAGAGTCAGTTTACGCCCCCGAATTGGCTCCAACGGAGCAAAACCTGTGTGTGCCTGCATGAGCGAAGGGTGCTGTGCAAAGCACTTGCTTGTCGTTTTTCCAGCTCTGCAACGCTGCCCGACAAGCGTAGTTCTATCGATGCTACTGTAATCCTGTGGCAGCATTCTGAGCAGGTGCTTCATCAACAAGCTTCATTGACACACAAACCCTGCATGTTCCCCTGGCACTCCTGCAGTCTGGCCATCCGAGTTACCAAAACCCAACACTGCAATGCGAACCCCCCATGGTGGCCCAGGCTTCGGAAGTGATGAGATTTTGCAATTTTTCAACCCGTTTGCCTGCCGCAGCCTTCAGAGGGCCCTTCGTTCGGCCTTGTTCAGGCACCAGACCTCATACAGCACGATCTCGTCATTCACCGGCCTGTGCAGGGACCACAACAAAAGGGGTTGCTGTTTGCTTGCTTTTCACACCCTCCGCGCCTAGAATGGTTGTTTCCGAGGTGGCCTCGCACGTCCTTCTATGTCGACTGCCGCCTCTACCGGCCAACACCTGAGGAGGCGCCCGTTGTTCTTGGGGAGGAGTGGAGATGCCAACACCTTCTGGCATCGGCCAAGCTGAGAGAGACGGTGCTGTGTAAGTGCTCCGCCTTCATGCATGACAGTGTGATATGCGATGGCAGTGCAAGCCATGCTAAAGATTTGGAAGGCCGAGTATGCGCGTCGTTCGCTCTGTGCCTTGGCTCTCCCTTTTTGATTCCAAGCATTTGCTGGGTTTCCAGTTCTAGCAACAGATGTTTCTGATCTCAGCTCATCCAATGAAGATTGAAGGCTAGCAAGCATATCGAGTGTCAAGTGGCTCCTAGTGATGCTGGAAGAACAGCCTCCGCAGGTAGCAGGTGAAGGTCTTTCAACCTCTTTCAACCAAAAGGCGCGACCGAACCAAAAAATAAAATGCACAACCGGAGACTTCAGCCACATCCAATCCATTGTGGAGGCGGCGTCGAGTGTACTCAGACTGCATGCTTTGTCGAGGGTTACTCGCATTTTGGCTGAGCGTGCTCTGTCCGTGCTGAACGGCTATACCCCTTGACGGTTTAGGGTCTTCCGCATGCATGAAATGGCGGGTTCGATTGTACTTTCTGCTCCCCGCTGACCACGTCCCCTAGCTTTACGTCTCCACACGCAGATGTTGTGTGCACGTCCTACTCGTAGGTCGGGCTGTCTTGCCAGGTCAAGTTTATTCTCTACCAGCAGAAACGCTTAGAGTCTGTTAGCCATTAAGCAAAGATGCGGTGATGAAGTTTTGACTGACAGGTTTCCCAAATGCTAGCTGCTTTGTGCTGAAATAGCCACAATTACTTGGCTTCCGGGTTCAAATGTAGTCTTTTTTGACTAATCCCAAGCAACCCCAACACCTGGACCTAAAATAGCCCGAAACCCTGGGCCTAGGACCCCAGATAATCCCATAACACTGAACCTTGGACAATCCTAACCCCAAACCACCAAACAAAATACGCAAAGCCTGAAACACCCACCAAAATCCCAAACAACCCCGCAAGGACTTCAATCGGCCCTGAGCAACCTGAACCCTAAAATCCAAACACCAACCCCGAGATGCAATACAACTATACAACCTTAAGATGTCCATCCCAAATAGCATCAACGCATTAAACCCTGAATAACCCTATTAGTCCTACTTGTAGCCAACCGTAAGCCGTAAACAACCCATCAAACAATTCCACACCATGAGCGCCGAACAGCTGCAAGCCCTAAACCCTAGCTAACCGCAAACCCTAAACAGTCCTAAACTCAAAATTCTAAACAGTCAACAGCCCTGAACTCAAACCCTAAACATTCAAAAGCCCTAAGCCCAAAACCCGAAAGCCGTACGGTCGAAAGAGGTGCCGTAAGAAGCAACTTTGAATTCTCAACAACCTTAACCCCTTGACAACTTCACGCACTGAACCCTCATTAACACCAAACTGCAAACCCTAAGCAGCAGAAGACCCTACAGTTTGAACAACCCCCCACCCTAAACCCGAACAAGCCCAAACCCCAAACCCTAAATAACCCTAAACAACCCTAAACAACCCTAAACAACCCTCAACAACCCTAAACACTACGCAACGCCAAACCCTAGACCCTGAATAACTTTGAAATTCAAACCCCGAACAGGCTTCAGCGAAACCGCAAGCCCTGAAACAAAAACCGCAGAACCTAGGGGGTGGTGGCTGTTTTTGCTTGCTTCCTGCCAAAGCCACTTGGGTCGTCGAAATGCGTGTGACTGAGGGTCAGAGTTCGGTCTGGCGCCCTCTGTTTTGGGAGTTCGCGAGATCGGGTACCCCTCTCAGGAGAAGAAGGCAACACACGGGATCCAGCCAATTACATGCAACTTCTTGCGTACGACCACTTCCCCATGGAGAGCCCGAACTACGTGGGCGACGACGAGAAAGATAACTACCACGACATTCGAGATGAGTATGGAGATGTTTCTCAGTAAGATGGAGAGGAAAAAGATGAGTCGGCAATGATGCAGCCCACACCTCCAGATAATGTGGATGCAGAATGGATGCCAATTAGGCGTTTCTCACGATGGCCCAAATGGAAGTACTGGTGGACTGCTTTGCTGTGCGGATGAGACGCATTGGCAGGGCTCAATGTCCAGAAGGAATCCTACTTTCGCTCTACCGAGGAGGTCGAAGCAAACTTCCTCGGGTTAGAAAGGTGGCGGCTAAATTTAAGAATGTCACCCGTTATGAGTGAGCTTCCCAGACGCTAAACAACTCCAAAGCCTGAACAACGCCAAATGCCTGAACAACCCCAATCGCTGAACCCTTATTTGCAACATGCTATCTTTCTGTGGAGACTGCATGACCCCCTCTAATGCTTTCGGGGTGTACTTTTGGGTGGAGACAGACTCCTTCCCGTGCCTTCTAAGAGGCTTCTACTTTGGATGGAGCCTGACCCTCGGTTTTGCCCTCCCACCGTCCCCAACAGCAGAAACAAGGTGAAGAGAATTATATTGTTTTCATAGACAAGTTCCACTTGACCGCAGAAATTAGACAAACCGCACAAGCCGACAAGTCAAGTCGCAATCGACTGACTTTTCGCAATCGACTGACTTCTCTACCATCCATTGTCCTCTCCTGCTGCGCAAATGCAAAGACTGACTGCACGCCAGCCGCGGACAAAGAGCTGGAGCTTCCATCCGATCCACCGCCGCGGCCGAAGGTGCCGGGGCTTGGACATACATGAACACTTGCTGACATTTTTGGATTAGAACAACTCGTGGTTCATTATTGTGGGGGAAGACAGGACATGGACATTGTGCCCGAGGGGGCCAGCGGAAGAATGCCTAGAATGAACTACTTGGACAGGCCATACCTCCCAAACCGAAGGGCCTCCTTAACCAAGGGCTTGCCACAACCTCAGTTTCCGCGTTTTCCTGCATGATTGAGACAAGGACCTGCGGGTTCTTGGAATGCTTTCCTTTGAGGCAATGGCCAAAGACTTCGCCGTGCAGGCGTGTCAATGATGTTGCTCGCAGCTGCATAAATCTGATGCGCTCTACCAAAAGTGGCTTTCAGTACTTTTGTAGTCGTATCCTAGTAGGGAAGTTTGGGGTGGTTTGCCGAAAGGCAGCCTCCGAGTTCTTCGGCCGGCCACTCATGCAAAGGGAGCGTCCCTCACTTGGACAATGCTTCAGTCAGGTGACGCTGGCGGGAAAGGAGATCCGGATGTCACAAGGCAGGCGGACCTCTCTCATGTTCAGTCTTAAGCGAAGAGAAGTCCATTCCCATATAGGCAGTGCGCTGAGCTTTATGGCCTCTTCCAGAGGAAGAACCTCATGGCTGGCACCTCAAGCTTCAGGTGCACTCTTCGTTCAGCAAAAACATTGCTGCCTGAAACTTTACAATCCCGTTGGGAGCTTAGGAAGCGTCCACGGACTCCATGCTCAGAGTCAACAGAGGCACCCAGCATTCAGCACAGAAAAGCGCGCTTGGCACGCATTGCACGCACGCTTGGCTTTTCGTCTCCTCCAGGTAAGCCAAAGGGCCTCGCTGACCTTGAGGATGACAAGGCCCGCGCTGAGTGATCTCAGTGGCCAAGGGCCCAAGAGGACCGGATTAAAAGTGCTCCAAATGTGTCCATAGCCAGTTTAAAGTAGTTGATATACTCGTAATGCAAAGCCCCGGCTCTGACTGCCCATGAACCACCAAGTAGGCTTTCTCAATGGCATGTGTGGGCTGAGGCACCAGGTGGCCTGTTCATCCAGCATACTTCTTCGCACCAATGGCCTGTGCCTCGAGATCCGTGAAGGATCAGGGTTGGTGAGTGTCAATGCTAGGTTGCTGTAAATAGGGGCCAGTGAAACAAATACTGCCAACCACTACCGTCTCCAACAGCCTTTGGCATGTATGATGCACGCTCCATTGCAAGGTATCATTGTTTCATTCTTGGCAAGAAAGAGGAGGCTCAGCTACAGTGGTGGCCTTAATGCTGTCCCCACAACCCATTCCTTGATGAGTCCAAGAACTGCGCAGCTATGTACCGGTCATGAACTCACCATCCCCACAAGTATCGCTGTACCTGCTTTGTGAGCGCTGTGGTTTTGATGCTGAGCAGGTGCGTAGCAATGGAGCCCGACAAATGGTTTGCAAAGAAGAAGGTTTGTGGCATGCAAGCGTTCACGCCTCGGAGACCAAGAATCAATTGAAACTGCGTTTAGTCACAAGCCATGATGGGACAACGTTTGAGCCAGACCAAGCGAGATGTTTTCAAGGTGTGACTATGATCGGCTCACATTCAAGACCGAGTGCCTCAAGAGGCAGTGATTTTGCTTCAAGCGATGGGCCCTCTCCCAATCTAGCCGCTACACGTCTTTCAAGTTGTCGTGCAGTTAGGGTCTTAAGGCATGTGCTCTTATCACTGTGATCAGCCGCCAGGGTGGTTGGCTTTGTGGGGAGGCCGCAGTGTGTTTATGTTGGTCACCATGGAGAGGTGCACGGCAAGGACAGCTTGAGGTCCGTGCTTCAAGCAGGGTTGCCATATCTCTAGAAACAGTAGGGGCCCCATGAAAGGTAAAGGGGTCGCTTAGCCACTTTTCTTTTGGGTCGCTCGGCATTCTTTTTGGCCGATCAACCTGTAGGACGTGTTAGGATCAGATTGGCCCTAAACCTTAAACGACCAGAAACACCCTAGTCCCAAGACACCCTAAAGCATAGACAGCCTAAACAGACTAAACCCTGAACACCCTGAACCCTGAACACACTAAACCCGGGAAACATGCTAAATACTTTAAACCCTAAGCACCTTAAATCGGAAACACACTAAACCCTCAAACACCCTAAACCCTCAACACCCCAAGCCGTAAACACCATGCACTAAACACTCTAAAGCCTAACTATTGAAAACCCCAAACACACTAAACCCTAAGCGCCCTAAACCCTCAACACTCTAGACACTCTACATCCTAATCATCCTAAACATACTAAACCCTGACACCCTAAACACCCTAAGACCGGAAAAAAAGGCTAAATACCCTACACCCTAAGCGCCCTAAACCCTAAACACCCTGCACCCTAAACACCGTAAACGCCCTAAGACATAATTATACTAAACCCAAAACATCCTGAACCCCAAACACCCCAATCACCTAAACCTAAACACCCTGAACCCAAATGCTTTAACCCTAAGCACTCTAAACACCCTAAGGGCTAAATGCGCTAAAGCCTAAACATTTTAAACGCTAAACCCGAAACACACTAAACCGTGAACACGCTAAACCCTAAACACCCTAAACGCCCTAAAGCCGAGGCATACTAGACCAAAAAGCACACTGAACCCTAAACACCCTCAACATCCTTCACCCTAAACGCCCTGAACTCTAAACACACTAATCCCTGAAAACATGCTAAATACCCTAAACCCTGAGCACCCTCAACCCTAAACACCCTAAAGCCTGAACACCCTAAATGCCCTAAAACCTAAACATCCTAATCCCAAAACACCCTGATCTCTAAACACACTAAACAAACTAAACCTAACCACCCTAAACTCAAAGCACACTAAACAACTTAAGCCCTAAACACATTAATCCTAAACCCTGAACACCCTAAAACACCCTAAAGCCTAAACCCTAAACGCCCAAAACCCTAAGCACTTCAAAGCCTAAACAACCCTGAACCCTAAACATACTAAACCCTAAACATACTAAACCCCAAAAAACACCCTAAACCCAAAACACTCTCCACACCCTACACCCTAAGCACCCTAAAGCCAAAGCACCCTAAACCCTCAACACACTAAGCCGTAAACACCATGCACTTAACACCCTGAAGTCTAACTACTCTAAACCCTAAACACACACACACAAACCCTAAGCACGCAAAACCCTAAACACTCTGAACACTCTACACCCCAAACACCCTAACCCCGAAACACCCTTAACCCAAAACATCCTAAACATACTAAACATACTAAACCCTAAACAGCCTAAACCCCAAACACCTTGAACCGTAAACACATGTAAACACCATACACGAAACACCCTGAAGCCTAGCTACTTTTAACCCTACACACATTAAACACTAAGCACGCAAAACCCTAAACACTCTACACCCTAAACACCCCAATCCCAAAACACCCTAAACCCTAAACATCCTAAACCTCTGGGCATGCGCCAATGCGCGCTCGAAGCATGCGCGCCCGGCATTAGCAAAAAACATCCTAAACATACTAAACCCTAAACACCCTAAACAGCCTACACTCTACACACCCTGAACCGTAAACACCATACACTAAACACCCTGAAGCCGACCTACTCTTGACCCTAAGCGCACTAAACACTAAGCACGCAAAACCCTAAACACTCTAAACACTCTACACCCTAAACACCCTAACCCCAAAACACCCGTAACCCTAAACATCCTAAACTGACCAAACCCCAAACACCCTAAATACTAAGCACCCTAAACAGCCTAAACCCTAAACACCCTAAACCGTAAACACCATACACGAAACACCCTGAAGCCTAACTACTTTTAACCCTAAACACACTAAACACTAAGCACGCAAAACCCTAAACACTCTACACCCTAAACACCCTAATCCCAAAACACCCTGAACCCTAAACATCCTAAACAGACCAAACCCTAAACACCCTAAACACCCTAAACACCCTAAACAGCCTTAACGCTAAACAGCCTAAGCCCTAAACACCCTAAACACATTAAACCCGGGGAACATGTTAAACACTCACACCCCAAGCACCCTTAATCCTAAACACCCTAAAGCCTAAACACCATAAAGCCTAAACACCCTAAACGCCGTAAAGCCGAAACATACTAAACCTAAAGCACCCTGAACCCTAAACACCCCAAACACCCCAAACACCCTAAACCCAAATGCTTTAAACCCTAAACACACTAAGCCCTAAACACACGAAACCCCAAACACTCTAGACAGTAAACACCCGAAACCCAAAAACACCCTAAACCCTCGACACCCTAACCGTAAGCGCCATACACTAAACACTCTAAAGCCTAACTACTCTAAACCCCAAACACTCTAGACGGTAAACACCCTAAACCCTAAACACCCTAAACCCTCAACACCCCAAGCCGTAAACACCATGCACTAAACACTCTAAAGCCTAACTACTCTAAACCCCAAACACACTAAACCCTAAGCACCCTAAACCATCATCCTAAACATACTAAACCCTGACACCCTAAACACCCTAAGACCGGAAAAAAAAGGCTAAATACCCTACACCCTAAGCGCCCTAAACCCTAAACACCCCACACCCTAAACACCGTAAACGCCCTAAGACCTAATTATAATCAACCCAAAACATCCTGAACCCTAAACACCCCAATCACCCTAAACCTAAACACCCTGAACCCAAATGCTTTAACCCCACACACTCTAAACACCCTAAGGCCTAAACGCACTAAACCCTAAACATTTTAAACGCTAAACCCTAAACACGCTAAACTCTGAACACGCTAAACCCTAAACACCCTAAACGCCCTAAAGCCCAAGCATATTAAACCAAAAAACTCATTGGACCCTAAACACCCTAAACATCCTTCACCCTAAACGCCCTAAACGCCCTAAACTCTAAACACCCTAAACCCCAAACATTTTAATTCCGAAAAAACATCCTAAGTCCTAAACATCCTAAACCCGACAAAAACCTCAAATCCTAAAAGCCGTAAACCCAAACCATACTAAACCCTAAACACCCAAGAACCCAAAACACTCGAAACACTCTACATCCTAAACACCCTAAGCCCTGAACGCCCCCAAACCCTACACGCCCTAAACCCTAAACATACTAAACCCCCAAACCCTAAGCACCCTAAACCCTAAGCATCCTAAACCCCGAGCACGTTAGCCTGTAAACACCATAGACACTAAGCACCCTAAACCCCAAAACACTCTAAACTCTCTAAACTCGAATCGCCAAATGATGGGGTGGGTTTAAGATGTATAGCGAACCTAACCCCAAATCCTGAGACCTGAATTGGCCGTGACCTGCAAAAGAAGTTGCTAAGTGACCCGAAACGGCGCGGGATCCGAATTGGCTAAGTGACCCGAACAAAAATTGCTAAGTGACTCCGGGACCCCATGAAAGGATCCACGAGAAGCTCGAATTCATTGTCTCATGTTGCATTTTGGGAGCTTGGGAAGAGATTATATGTTATGTTTCAGACCTGCACAAGACTTGGTGTGACACCCCTTAGGGTTCAAACTCTAAACAGGCCTTTGCAGCAATTGCAGCCCACTGTTTGATGGTTGATGGCAGCATTCGGCTTCCATCCTCATCACTTCTTCACCTGCCTGTTGACTATAGACACTTGTGCAAGGATTTCGGGGTCCTTCCTCCAAGTGCTTGTGAACATTCCGCAAATGCAAGGACATGCTGGGAAAGCCCGTTCCTTATTCGGCCAGTTGCCCAGCCAAGCGGGGCGTGGCAAAACTCGGAACTGTTGTTTACGTCACAGCCATGTTGCACAAAGGTTTGCTGTCAGTGCCTAAAGGTGGAAAATTGCACGTCCCGTCGAAGGTGGCAAGCTTGCCTGGCAATCCTAAGTTTTTGTTGCCCTGGAATTGTTGCAGTGAATCTTGCTCACATGACGGCAGTCTCCTGAGTTCCAGCAACGTGTCGCTCAGTACTGCCATGCTGATGTTAGGAAGTAGCAGCAGCAGTGATGTTGGTGGCTATGGCTTTATCTCGGCAAATTCAATTTCTCCCAGCCCGCGCTGCAACTCGCCGTTCAGTCCTGTAAAGGTCCCAAAGTACTTCTTGGATAGTCCCCTTTTCTGCGGATTTCTCAGGTTTCCTCGTCAGGTGCTTTTTCCCACCATGCTCTTAGGTATGCATAAAAGGCCCAAGTGCAGGCAAGCAGACAGGAAAACCACTTGTTTTTTTTTGAGAGACAACATGGCAAGGCCAACATCTTGAGCAAAACTACGCAGCCCTACACCCCAAAGCAGCCTTCGACCATGCTTGATTCCTGGAGTGCACCTTTAAGCTCATACCATAACGGCAGCTCCAAGCCCGGCAAAAAACCACTTGCTTACCTGTGATATCCTCAGCGTGCCATGAAGAACTCAAACCTGCCTGTGCTGGACGCATGATTTTCTGCCTACGGAGACCCTTCTTCCTCGACCTGGTTGTTGTTTTCTGAGCCTTTGTGGGACGCTTCCTTCATTTTTCGGGTTGGAAGCAAGCCCGCGGCAGAACACTTTTCTGGAGTTGCATGATGGCCCGTGTTTCTTACATCGTTTCTCACATTCGCATGTCACTACACTATTTTATGCTGTTCGAAACTTGCAGGAATATGAAAAGTACTGACTCTGGCGGTCGCATTTCGTCACGTTAAACATATGTGCTAGACACATGCCTCTGGAAATAGCAATCATGGTTCCCTGGCCCTGAAGTCTGTCACGAAGAGCTTTCTCTCCAGCGGATGCCATACCAGCATGTCGGGTGCATTTGGCTAATCGGGACACGGCAGTTGCTACATGCTCTCAGATCTCTCGGTTTCAACAAAGCAGGGTGCACGTCGGTTTCGGTGAAACGAGGGCGCATTTTTTGGACGGTTCAGGCATCAGGATTGGAAAGAGACCAGAGTTGTTTCTTGAGTTGACGCTCTTAGTCATAAACCCTGTGTGGTCCTCGTCGTAGCGGTATCAGGGCTCCTTTGCTTCACTGAAGGTCTTCATCCTGGGATGCCCCCCTTTGCTTCTTCCGCCGCCTCTGCGAGCACCAATGAGAGGCCGGCTTTGCCATTGTCTTGACAATGAGATCTTCTGTGTTTGTGCTCCAGTGATAGGGTTTGGCATGATAAACATCTTGGCACACGCTGGCATCTTCACCTAGTCATTTGAATTCAATTCTGATCACAAAGCCGGAACCCAAGTCTTTCTCATCTTGTTCCTGAAGTGTTGCCAGCTCGGGGCCTTGACGGCTAGATCTTTGCATTCACGTGTAAGATGTTGGCAGGTCATGATGAATGGAGGGACTTCCTCTGGAGCCACTGACCCTGCTTCTTGGCTCATGCTGCGGAGGAAGGGAATTTAGGCAACGACTGATTCTAAGCATTCAGGCAGGCAAGTTGGGGCGTGTCGGTCTTGTGCCGAGGCGCGTCAAGCGCGAGCTGAAGATTTGCGGCAAAATGCTGCGCAGCCCGTGTGGGTTGATTGTAGCTACGGCAAAAAGGTGGTCTCTGCCTCCTAGCTTCAGACGTAAACAATGGACTCTGGGCGTCCTGTCCTTTGCTTAGCTTCACAGTGCGGTCGCAGGTGGTTTCTTTCCAATTTTTCTGAGATCCTGGTGGGGAACCCCAAATCTACAGAAACTTTGAAAGTCCCGTGCCTGTGCTGGCAAACCTGATATTGTCGGTGTCTTTTCGGATAGAGACTTGAACGGGTGCCAATCCAACACTGGCTTGTCGGAGCCAAGGATGATTCTTTGTGACAAGGGCCTCACATAGACAGGCCAAGCTTGGGATCCAAAACGGCTGCATGACCGCAGCAATTTTCTGCTTGTCCAAGGCATCGCCAAAGGCGGCCTGATTAGTTAGCTGTAGGAGCAGTTGTCATCAAGTTTTCCAGAGCATGTCTGACGCGCAGCAGAAGAAGTTGGAGCTTGCAGCAAGCCCACATCTAGCTCATACCATCTCATACCTCAGCAACATCCCCCAAACCCAGAGAGTTCACAGGCTAGCGGTTAGCGGTAGCGCTCGGGGCTGGTAGCCCGATAGATTTGTCTTGGTCGTCAGCCACTAAGCTGCTCTGGGGCAGGCGTGCTGAAAAGTCTGTGATGCCGTACTTGTTAGAACTCCAAGCTCCCAGGCCGTTATGACAACTCTCCTGCCAGTCGGAACCTGAAAGCTTTGTACAGCTTTGTCAGGGTTCAACCATCTTAGTGGCTCCCTTTCCTGGGCTTGTGCAAAGGATTCTTTTCATGTGGGATCTGTCGGCCACGAGCTCATCTTGCTGTGTGCCTGCGTAACGCAGATGAACAGAAGCGCGACCTGTCACTTGAAACAATTTGACAGAGATTACTCAGGTGCACAGGCAGATTCAACGAGGCCCACATTCCCTGCTCATTCGTTTGGTGCCGGTGCAGCACTACATACTTGTAGCAGGTTTCGTTTGTCAGATCCCTGGCTTGCATAAATTGATTTGTTGCGTGGTTGGGCTGAGGAACCTGTGATCGAGAGAGTGCACGATTGAAAGTCTACATGTCTCGAAAACTCGAGAAGTCCAAGGTGCGATAGTGCTTGTCAGAGCCGAAGGAAGTTGCAAAGCGCAATCCCGAGCAGGCGAAGCTCAACTCTCCCGGTCCAGTCTACGACATCCCGTCAGCGGTACGGAACTTTCTCCATCCGAGTCAAGATAAGCTGCTCCAGGTTCCGACCTTTGAACCGCTTGCACCCAGTAAGGTTGGCGCAGCGCCCAGCTTCTCATTCGGAACTGACGTGCAGCGGCGGGGCAACACAGATGCTGCACGGTCTCCGTCAATGCCCCTGCAAGCGTGGCAGGAAGCACGATCCAAAAAAGTATCCGGACTCAACCGTAGATCTGACATGCCGGGTCCTTTGTAATGAAGTCGTGCGTTGAATGTTGAAGAGCGCTGGATCAGCAAGTGGCATGGGATCTGTGGCAGTTCCCACAAAAGGTGCCACTGTGGACACGCAGAAGGTGAAATATGCCAAGACGCCGGGCTGCCACTTTGGCACAGAGCCATGAGCTCGGGAAAGATCGGGCAGCCTTGCATGATGACTCCCATGCCTTCAGGCAGTCCTCTTGGCTTGATGGATCATATTATGCAAGCAAGCGTGTGATGAACTCACGTCGCATGTTTCGAGGCAGAAATTGGCCCTCAAAAATGCAGAGATCATTCGAACGCATGCGGGCCTAGCGCTGGGTATCAGCCTTGGGAGAAAGATAGCTTGTCCTTGTCGCACTGGAGTTGCCCGTATTGAAAGTCATGTAGTTTGACCTCGTCACAAGAGCCTCAACCCCTTCAACCTGCGCTGGTGGAATCTCTGCGGCTGTTTGGCTATCTGCAGTAATTATTCAGTCTCAAGCCTCGGCCTTCTTCCTCCCGCAACTGCTCTTGGGGGTGTAGTTTCCTTTGCCACTGCCGTCGGCATCCACAGCAAGTGGGGCGGGACAATGCTCCTCATCAACGAAGATCCATGATGCGCAGCCTGTTTCTTGCCAGGAGGCTCCCTGGGCGGTGAAGGTTCGGATGGCATTCTCCTTGAGGCGAAGTTCTGCCTGTTTGACACTGTTACATTTGATTGTCCGGCTTCCAAGACTTCCAACCCGAACGACACGTCTGATATCTCTGCTGCAAACAGCCATGGTCTTCACCCTTCGCGGGCTTGGACGCAGGAAATGGAGGACCAGGAAAAACCAATCGCTTGAAAATGGCCCACGCTGCCCAAGTTACAACCTGAATCCGTCTCAGGTTGATTGCTCTCGAATTCTTGGTCCCAGTGAAAATGGCAGTTTCACCTATGACCCAACCAGCAGCATCATCACAAACAACCTCACATGTACCATCTGTCAGCAGAGCACCTAGACTCGACTAGCTTCATAACAACGCAGCGCGTGTGAACGACCCATCGAAAGTTTGAGGGTGACAAAACATTGGCACTTAGCATCGGCCCTAGATGTGAGTTGATCCGACAGGGAGACCACAGCCTTTTCGATACTTGCCGCGCCCTTGCCGACAACCTTTTTTGCAGACCCCCCTCAATGGCTTGCAGAAAGAGCATGGCATCAACATTTTTTTCATCGTTCGCATCGCGGCAGATGATGTTGTGATGCATTTTGACTTGGAAATCGCACAACCGCATTTGGAGATGCGACAGCCGGAATCAATGCTGAGACGGAGGATCTGCAGCGGTGAGGGGAGCTTGAGGGTGTCGAAGTGGTGAGCGCATAGGACGTCTTAGATATCTCATGTGCCACAGCCTACAAAGGCTACTATGCACGTCACAGGCAAAGCTTCCACCGAGTCTTCTGCCCAGCATTCCCCGTCTGGGGAAACCAGAAAATTGGAAGCATCGTCACTACCATTGCTCCTTCTCGACGCTAGAGCGCAACACCCTAAGCATGAGACTTGCACCGTGCATTTCACGCAGGAAGGCATTTATCATCAGGACGTGTAGATGTGGAGCCAAAGTGAAGTCGTTGTGTGGTGCTCCGAAGAAGGTCGACAAGCGTGGGTTTTGCAAGAGGTAGGCACAATGATCTCAATTAATGACACGTGAAGTGGTCGGCTTCCGGACCATCGGATCAAAGAAACGTGCAGTTCAAGGAGTTGCCTAGTTTTGTCTTGTGACAGTTGTGCTTGAGTCGTGTTGCCTACAGTATTTCACTTCGCAAGAAGCCCCTCGTCGTCCAACGTGAGAAAAGATGCGAGTGAGTGATAAGTCACTGAACGCCGGCAGGGTTCAGAAGGATTTTGAAGTACGAGCTCGCTCGGTTTGACTGTAAACTGCCGAGGTGCAGAGTCCCCAGGAGCCTTGGAATATCACGTCAAGGAGGTGGCAAAGAAGATGCGCCCGCCCCAGAACGCTGGGCCTGTAAGCTGTGCACGCATGCAGATAGAGCTCCCTTCAGCAGCTGCTTGCTTCACACACTGAAGCTGTTTCCCCAAAAGCTAGTTGTAGTTTTGCCCTCCAGTTGTGAAGGCTTAACGGTACGGGATGTTTTATTTCAGTAATGATGTTCGTTGCAACTCCTTTGCGTGCTATTGTGATGGTGTCGGAAAGATAGCTTCCAGCACCAGCGAGTCCTGCATGGTTCTTGTGGTCCTTGGGCTTTTCATATGTTTGTAGATTTGTGAAGCCTTGTGCTGCCTATTGTAGCTGATAGTGATTTGCGGAGTGCATAGGTCCGGGCATTGCTCTGTCATCCACGTTAAAAACGAACCCCGCCTTATTCGTTGAACTTGTTGGATGTAAGCCTGTAAGCTTAGGGCATGCTTCCCCGCAAGGCCTGCCTACTCCTTTGGGCCCACAGAGTCCATGACGCCGAGAAAGCCGGAAAGCAGGTTCTGAGCTGACCCTGCTACAGTAATTCCCCCAAACGGTGGCTGATTGATTGTACCTGTTGGTCATCGAGTTGATTGCGTTAGTGAATTATAGCTAGTACATATTTAGTATGTGATTCCGGACTGAGACGCTTAGCTATCCTAAAGCTTGCCAACAGAGCAGTAGTCTCCTGACCTGGCCTTGCCTATTAAGGCGGAGCATGACTGCTCACAGGCTTCAATCAATCAATCAATATCCTAAAGCCATGGAAGGATACCTCCATGCTTTGCAGTAGTTTTGTCATGCCACTTGTCGATTGGTGCAAACTTATTTCTGGCTGCCGTCCACCAAGCCGTGTCGTAGCAGTACCGCTGCCATGCAGGGTCCAGCTATTGCAGACAAGCACGCCTGCGCGGGTGGGCCCTGGTTGAAGCCTCAGCACGTGTCCGCCTGTAAGGTTGTTTTGGCTCCAACACCCACGTGTTGAGGGTTGGTACGTTGAGTTTGTAACACATGCAGTAGTGACATCACTAAAGTTTTCAAAGCACGGCTCTCATAATGCTGGCAGTTTGACGTGTGTGTTTTTCAGCTTGTAGGTAGGCTAGTGTACACCCCCTCGACCAGACGCTTAAATCTTCAAAATCGGATGCTCAGATCCCAGCATTCCAAAGTTTAAGCCAGTGCGCCGCAATCGCTATAGGGATATAGAGCGCATATCTCTGAGCCGCTCATCAATGCTCACCTTTTTGGAACCATTAGACCTCAGGTTCGCATCCCAAGCCATCCGGCCTTGGTCACCAGCCAATGTCACCGCGTCCCACTGCGCCGGTACGCAACCAAAGCTTTCGGGAGTGACTTCCACCTAGTTGAACCCATATTTGGAGGAGTGACTCGACTTTCAAGAGTGGTTTCGTGCTTTCCTTGAAGTGTGGAGTTGGAGGGTCTGTATACTTTCGCATTAAAGTCCCGTCACGAGGTCGTTTCAGGCATGTGGTTGTCCTGGATGCAACCGTGTTAGCTGGGGGACTCGCCTGGACGTGCGTGAGTGTGATGGAATGCAATCTTTGCTTTCAGAACATGGCTCCCGAAATGTGCTGGTCCGTGTTGGGGTTTTTGAGCAGCCATCGCCAGATTATATGGATTGTACGCTTCGGGAACATGTTTTGGCGGAAGTGTGGTTCAAACTCCTGCGAAGTCTGGCCAAGCTCAACAGGCCTGGACGATGTCTGGCCGCAGTCCTCGAGAAAAAACGCGAGAAGCTAAGGGTTTTCTACATGACATGCCTCATTGATGACAGCCGTATGTGAGAGTAGTCCGCGCATGCAGGCAGACAGAGGCTCTCGCGATAGAGGACAAAGTTTTTAGCTCCATAGGGAAGCAGGCTCGCGCCATGCCTGATGTATGCTCTTATTTCTTCTGTGTGGATTTAGGCAGCGAGCGTGGTCAGGTGCTGTCTACAATCCGATCACCTCCATCCGTGGCCACAACAAAGTCCACCCGTGAGCAAGTCAGCAGGTGCTCAGATGCTGACTTTTTCTGCTCGACTGCATGTGTGCTTCAGCAAGTTGAGTCAGGACCGCGATGTACGTGTCCGAGATGGACAAGACTGATGTTGCTCGCGGACCAAAGCCTCACTTCAACATGGAGCTGCCGGCAACGGTCTCGGTGTGATGCACAATGGCAGTTAGGCAAGATGGCAGTCTTGGATTTGGCACTATCACTATCGCTCATAGGCACTTTGCAGCGTTTGTTCACAGACTGGGGGCTCTCGCCACTGGCAAAGCGCATTGCAGAATTGGGATTCTGCTCCAAGCAAGTGTTTGCTCCTTGCTTCATCCTGTTCGAGAATGTCGCCTTCAGGCCAGCGCTCGAGTCTCAAGACCAGGTGTGTAGATGACAATCAGCATTCTGAGAGCCTTTGCGTTTTGCTAGGAGTTATGTTCAGTATCGCGTATTAACATGCATGGTTCTGCATGGCTGCACTGTTGCTTATATGTCCCTTGCATGATGAACAGTTCCTGCAACATGTGAACTACGTCGTATGTGGCCTCCCGATCTGTCGCACAACACGTGCACAAATCCCACATGTTTCACTTGATAGGGGAAGGCCGTCATGAAGGACGAGAACTTCCCCTTGGTAGGGCCACCCATGGGCACCACCCTAGTCCACGAGATCCTTCAGCATCTTCAGTCTTGTTGAGGCTTGTTAGGGCAGCAAGTGTGTTGCCTTGGTATCGATGGAAGTGGTGCACATGTGGTATGGGTTAGATGCAAGCGGAGTTATTGCAGGGGCCGCGCTCTCAGAAGTTCGGGAGACGAAACTGGCCCTGAGGCAAAGAAGTATGCAAAAGGAATCAACAGCTGCAGAAGCAACGGGTGATGTGATGCCAGGCAATTTTTGGCCATGTCACCATCATAGTAGTTGGGACACGCGGCTACCGCCAGAGTGTCATCCGCAGCCTGAGCAGTAGCCTGAGCCATTGGATCCATGTCACTGCTGAGCCTCTTCATTTGAGAGACAGGAGCAATCAGGACATTGAGAGACATTAGCATGACATCCCCACTCAACCTTCAGCACATTTGATGACACAATGTGATGCACCATGCTTAGCCTTGCAAACTGTCACCGTCAGGAGCATGCTGAGATTGTTGGAAGGACACACCAAACGACAGCATGGTCTCAGCTTATGGGTTCTGCGGCCAGCGTCGAGCCGGGTGCCGCTGTCGATGCAGTGAGCGCAGACGGCGCAGATGTTGGACCAGCAACCCGTGAAGTGCTTCTTGGTGTTCAGGCAAGGGTCAAATCGTGAGCTCCGCATGTGCAAGTTAATTTCGGGACTCAACGGCGAGGCCCGCATTTCTGCCTTGGAGCTGGAAGACGTGGTGCCGGTTACTCGTCTTCTCTGCAAGTCCGGTCCTGCGCTTCTGATAGTCGGGAAGCCCTTAGCAAGATAGCTAAAAACACTCAAAATCAAGAGGGGGGGCCGTTAGCAAGATAGCTAAAAACACTCAATATCAAGAGGGGGGAGCCGTTCGCAACATAGCTAAAAACATTCAAAATCAAAAGGGGGAGCCGTTAGCAAGACAGCTGAAAACACTCAAAATCAAGGGGGGAACCGTTAGCAAGATAATTAAAAACACTCTTTTTCTTGAACGTCCGGGCGCTTCTTATAATCCGTGAGTCAGTCACCTACAACGCCTCATCCCGTCGTGAGGACTACTAGCACAGCATGTGTGGAGCACGCCTGTAACCTCAAAGCCTCCCATGTTATCTACAGTTTAGCCCGCTTCGCTCGGCTGGCTTTGCTCCGTTTTAAGTTTTGCTTCCAGGCTGGTGCCCTGGCCCCACTGAAGCGTCAGCTTGCAGACGCTTTGCATCTTGCCAAAGCTTCGGCTTCTGTATGCTTTTGGATGCTTTTGCGCGGTTTGGTGGGGTTTGCAGACGCCTCGCTCGTGCCCCAAAAGGCATGGCAGCATCGATTAGCCGAGACACAGAATGGACATGCATTGTGATGTAGTGCGTGGGCAATGCGATACCGTAATTTGGCGATGTTGGGCGGCCTGCAGTTGCTGTTTTTCTTTCTTAACCACTTATACTTTAATCTAGACGCTTGTTCAACTGAGTCAGCATCGGATTGCGCACAGGCCTTGTCATTCTTTCGGATGGACATTGGGTGTCGTGTTGTTGAGCCGACGAAGACCGGAAGAACTCGCAATGAAACCAGCAGCATCATCTCAGCCCATGCAGGGGGCTGTGCCCCGCTGGCCGCGTTGACGCAGAGGCTGGCGAGGCGTGCTTTCTGACAAAGGGAGAATCTCTTTGTGACTTTGTGCTTTGGAGATACGGGCCGGAATCGTTTCAGTGTTCATCCCTAACGCAACTGTTCAAGATGCTACAATGCTACCATGTGGATGGACACTCTTGCAGCTTGCTGCATCAGGTGCATCGGGCAGACACAATACCATGCGACCAAACTCTATAAAATCAATGACAACGACATAATGCAGGAACGCAGCATGACCTCTCTCCTGCAAGATGGAGTTCTTCTAATCACTGTAGAGCATTCGTTCCTTTTGCAGTGGTAAAGCTGATTTGCTTGTCTCTGCTCATTAGACCTAGAGACCAAGCCAACAAAAAGCCAAAAGTAAGCCTCATCAGGCAGAAGGGTCTCATGAGACCTGTACTCCCCTGAGTAGATCTTCGATGTTGCTAGGAGAAGATCTGCCATTCGCGCCGCAGATTTGAAACGGGGTTTCCACGTGCACGGATTAGATCCGAGACCTGGGAAGTTAGTGATTCCGCCAAGTTTGACAAGAAAGTTAATAAGTCGTTCACGCAATGTACCATCAGGAGCACGAAAGCGTACCACTAAAGATCACTTATGAAAATTGTCCTTTTATGCCTTCCCTGCTGTCATAATCTAGAGATTGAGTTGGCTTGGGCTTGGATACTATGTTAACCAAATACGCACACCTCAAAATCCCTAATGCAGATGTCTAGTCCCAAACAGAGGCAGTGCGTCATGTGGCCGAGCTATGCATCGGGCTGGCGGCAGAGGACTGGAAAGTCAGGGGTGTGAGCATCGGGATGATGCGGGATGCAGGGCCGGCATTTATGTTGGTTTTGTTTCAGTTGCTCAATGTTGCTGGAAACCCTATCAACAAGCCCCAAGATATGTTTGCATTTATGCCTGGAGTCCTTTAGCTACGTGATGTCAGGTTCCCAAGCCCTAAGGAACCAAACTCTCACAATGCTGGTGGCTGGCAGAGTGAAACCAGTCAAAGAGAAAACAGCGATCCATGACGAGCCAACTCACGTGAGAGTTGTGAGAAGCGCCAGTTACGGAATTGGACTGCCCAGTGTTGTAAGTCCACAGAGTTTTGCCTGTTGCAGGCGGGGCTCACCTCAGAAGCTCGTCTCATCTAAGGCTGCATGCTCGCTGGGTCGTGGGGAATCATACGTTCCTTTCATAAGCAGAGCTAGATCGCAATGCAAGCTGTTTTTTTTTGGCGTATGGGGGGCTCTGGTTTGCTAAGTGCTCCTCGACTACAATTCAAACCAGGTGGGCGTGGCGGAGCTGCTTGCTGAGGCCTCGCGGGTGGAAGACCTGCTTTGTTTCATGTTGAGTACCCTTTTTTGGCATGCACTGTTTCAAGCAACGGGATGGTCCTGAACAGTTCAAGCTGGCACGCTGCACCAGTATCGCAAATTGTGCACCCTTCGTTCCTTCCAGTCTACCTTTTTCATTTTGCGCAGTCACTCCCGGGACATTCGGGAATTTCCAGTGTGGCCACAACAGAATCTGGCGTTTCTGCAGAAGTTGCAGAAGCTCATTTATCAAAAGCTATTTTGTCACGTACTTCATCCTAGAGGCACTTATGGCAGATCTAGTCTTCAGTCCAGGGGCGTTGTTCATTCCTTCATTCATGTGTTCGGCTTGGCAATCTACAGGGCCTGAGCGCAGCAGCCAGCCTCCTGTCGGGCAGCGTGGTCGAATCCAAGGCCCACGGCCGATTTTCCAAAGTGCCATCCCGTTACTTGTTTGGCTTGTGCGTGCTGTGCAGAAGAAGATGTGTATCGTGTGTATCAAAACGCCTTCGAGCTGGGTCTAAGGGTATTCGAGGCTCATGTCGCATGGATTCTGCGTGGGCAGACTACCAAATTACGAGCGTGTATAGGCCTCGGCTTGTAGCACATCTTCAGAGTCAGCATGCTGTTTGCCTTTGATCTTTTCTCCTCATGTTTTTCTGGCCGGAGGGTCGCAGGCATGGGTAGGTCTGGGTGATCGTGAGGAAGGCTACTTGTCGACTTACTTGCTCTTGTTCAGCATGTAGAGCAGACAGGCCGAACTTCAGAGTTTTTGACCTTCAGCACGAGGTGCTCAGCCAGTCGCAAACGTGAAGCAGCCCATGCTCTTATGAGGTTTGCATTGTCAAGATACCAAACATGCCTTGCAGATCAGAACCAGTCACTGCAAACAGATGACAGAATCAGCGAGAAGAAGCCTCGCCTCGCTAGGGCTGAGTGCTGGCCAAGCCTCCAGTGTTTGGCTTTCAGCCGAGGGGCAGCCTGGTCAGCTCCAGGCCCTAAGCTGATGCAAATGCTTGCCAGATTCCACAACCGGATCGCGGACTTGCATGCGTGAGGGGAGGGTGAAGACGTCCATTGTATGTGTGAGGTGATGACTGTGCTGGAGCCTCTGGGAAAGGCACTGGTTGCTGGGATGCAGAGAAACCAAGTTGTTCAATGGATAACGCCTTCTTCTCTTGATTTTGACCGGACCAGAGTTATATGTGGATTCTGTGCTATTGCCACGGGACCCTGCTTATCAGGTAGCAGGTGGCATTCCAACTAGGATGCAGTGCCAGCAACATAAGGAAGCTGTTGAACTGGAGAACATTGCTTTATTGTAATTATTGCGACTGTCTGCTCCAGTGCTTAAAACAGCAAGCACCGTCGCTGCCCAATTCTAGTTAGTAGTGGTTGCTGGTGCGATCGTGAACTTTGTTCGGGGCTTTTCGTACCAGCATCTGTTGTAATCCCGTGCAACTTGAAGAATATCTGTTCTCATTCAGCCCGAAGCGAAGAACTCTGCCATGTCCTCCTGCTCGGCATTTGCAGCAGTTTCCATGCATCTCAGGATGGCTTTGCCGTGCAGATCCTTGCAGCTCAGCAGACTATGGGAGACAGAAAGTTTACCAGCGTGAAGTGTAAGACTTGATATCCGGAAGACATTGCCACTTTTTCGGATCTTGTTTTGGTGCATGGAAGGGAGTGATGGCTGACGGCCTGCGTGCTGAGGCGAATCTTTGGCGTGTGTGCCTTAGCTACCAGAGCAGTAGACCCCGCCCTAGCCCACCATGCAAGGAGATCCCCGCTGCGAGCTTTGAACATTGCTGAAATACTATGCGCAAAAGCGAAAAAGGATAGTTGGTGTTTTTAGCACGGCATAAGCAACTGAGGTCTGGATGGGCCCGTTCAGCCAGAGTGGAGTATGGAGCGCTTTGCGAAGCCTGGAGTCCTCTGCTTCGCAGATGCTACGCAACCCTTTTGCAAGCATGCGCTGGACTTGAGGCTCTATCAAGCCTTGCAGGCTGGGCTACCGGGCAAATCCGGAGAAGGTGTTGGGGGTGAACTTGAAACTTCAGACTCAGCTCATGCCAAAATGTGGTCTGAGACGTTCACAAGAGAAGTCCTGGATGTTCGGGGACTTTCAGGAATGTCAGGAAGATCCCGGTTTGGTTCAGTGCCGCAAGTGAAGCCGCCTACAGTAGCTCTAGCACGCTCGGCCCCCCGGCAACCCTGAAGCAGGGCGTTTGCATCTGGACGCTGGCGCTTCTGCTCCGTGTTCTGGGCGATGCCGGTGGGGCGGCGAACCTGTGGGAGCAGCCCGGGCACTGTCTTGGTTCATAAGGGTTAAACTGCATTGTCCGAGAAATTTATGTATTTTGTGTTCAGGGTTCGGGGCGGAGATGCACGTGCGTTGTGGATGTTCAGTGAGAAGGGTGAACAAGGATTCTTTCTAGTGCTCAAGAAAGGCCCTGAAGTGCTGGTCTCTCAAGATTCTACCCAGACACCGATAGGGAGTGAGGGGGAGGGATTCAGGGATGGAGGGCACAGCCTTTGAGGGTTTGTCTGGACGAGTGAAAGAAAAGGCAGACGGATCATGAGAACAGGACAGCAGAAGAGGAAGAAGAAGAAGAAGGAGAAGAGGATCCATGCCTTGGAAAGAAGGAAGGAAGGAAGATAAGGGAAGGAAATGAAAGAAAACAGAGGACAATGAAGGAGACTTTGCAACTCATTGGTTTCTGTCTTGCACTCCCAGTTGCAGCCTTAAAATGCCGTCCCAGGAAACGCTAAGGCAAGCAACAAAGCATGGTGCGTGAACTCACGGCGTGCAACCATACAGCAGTGCATGGCGGGGCATCGCCACTGAAAAGGGAGTACGAGGAGACTGAGAGCGAAAATGAAAAAGTGGGATCGTGACAGAAACGGAAAGCACATCTAGATTGCCCAGAAGCTTGCGCCTTCACTTCCACGCAGGGCACAAAGCTTAGTCGCGTCAGATGCAACCGGACGCTTCAGCAACGCCGCCGCCGGAACATAATCCAATCCAATTGCATCACGACAGGCAGGTTTTTGGCGCACCTCGTTTGCGGGCCGTCGCTGCTTCGTAAATAGCCCACTTTGAACATCGGTTGCCATGAATTTGGTTCTGACTCTCACTGTCCAAGCCCGGAAGCTTTATCACGGGTTTCCGAAGACTCACCCGTCCACCATTGCAACAGAAGAACAGTAAGACGTACCAGGTTCTGCAATGCTGATGCCCTGTGCGCGGTGATCTTCGTGAAGGGTGCGCTGAGCTTCTCGCGAGGTAAGCGAGAGACCTCGTGTATTCGCATCCCTCATGACCTTGCAAAGCTGCAGAGGGCGATCCTCTCCAGCGCCCTGGGCCTCAGCAACCCCGGCCTCGTGTTTGCAGACGGGGAGTGTGGAGACATGAGCATCGTGGAGCGACAGGAGCAGCTGCTGAGCCATTGCGCACTGCTTGCGGCTGTGGCCTCTGAGAACGAGCTCACCGACTGTCTTCTGGCCTTTGACTGGGCAAAGGCTGCTGACCAAGTCACAAGGCTCGCTGCACATCTTGCTATCATGGCTTCCTCAACGCAGCTCTCACTTCCCCATCTCGAAGATGCTGCGGCCAACTATTTGCGCCACTTGAAGTTGAGGTCCCATGGCTGCAAATGGCAGCTCATGTTGAGGGACTGTCGGCATCAATGTAAGGTCCATGATCATTTGGGATATACTCCAACTGGAGACTTCACCAGGGCGCAGCTTCCTTCGCGACTGCTCACAACTGGCATTCTACATCGAGCCCAGCCCAGAGGCAGCGAGCTCCATAGTTGCTGGATTGGAGAAGGGCGACGCTCTTTCCGTGGCCTTCGCGTGCGTTGTGCTGGCCAACGCGGGCCTGGAGCCACGAGCGACAGCCATGAGCAGCCTTGTTACCAAGCTGTCCGCGGCTGTCAGGGCACAGGCACAGAGCCAACTGGAAACAATTAGCTGGTGGAGAGAGGACAAGGCAAGAATCATGCATGTGCATATCTACAAGCTGGTCTCCAAAGTCTGCAGCAACTTGTGATGATACCTTCCGCTTGTTGTATCAGCGGTTCAAGTGACGATTGCAGGGCAATACTAGAAGAATGCGTTTTCGGCAGAAAGCAGGCAGTAATTCAACTGTGTTGTTCACCGTGTTCCTTTGTAGGGCAGTTCTGTCGCCATGTGGACCTCTCCGGTCTCCAAGCGAGAGGCATTGGACAAAAATGCAAGGGACTGGCACATGGGAACTGACATGATGAACGAGGGCAGCCGCCTATTGGGCAAGATGCAGGGCTACATTCAAGGTCACACGCCCCTTGACACGGAGCGGCGGTGCACTGATTGTCTTTTCATTCCGTTGTTCTTGACGGCTATAGTAGGGCTCTGCGTCTGCATCAGCAACGCAGTGGAAAAGGGAAGCTTCCAGAGACTCACTTCCCTTCCGGATTACGAAGGCCGCCTATGCGGCGTGGATGGGCAGGGGCCGTATCTCTATTTCTGCCAACAAGGACAGACTTTGGACCTGCAGCACCAGATCTGTGTTGAGAGCTGCCCGGTGGACAGCAGCAGCACCATCTTTTGCCGAGCCACGGGCTCCCAGCAGCCCAGCTACGCTACACACCCTGTGGCTGGCATGATCTGCCGCTTGGCTGAATGGGCACAGCTGAACCTTTGAATGTGCTTGATCCTGTTTCATTTCAGGCATGCCTGCGGCCGCCGAGGTCGCATCTCAGGCGCCTGGGGTTTTGATGTTGTGAGAGATTGTGAGAGTGAGGGCCTGAAGCAAAGCTTAGAGAAAGAGAAAAGCAGATTGTCACAGTGGAAGTGTCAGTGAGGTGAAACACCTTTTCGACAGCAACCCCTATGTGAAGACGCTTTTTGACGTGCTGGAGGTCACCTTTGACTGGGAGCAGCTTCTGGTTGCGGCCGTTGTGGCTTCACTGGTCTCTTATGCCTACCTCTTTTGCATCTCCCTTTGCGCATCCTTTCTAGTGTGGCTCTGCCTGATCCTGCTGGTAGTGGCACCGACTTGCCTTGGTTTGGTCTACGTCTACATGTCTGCCAGCCCGGAGATTGTAACTCCTCAGTCCTTTCCTGCCTTGATCACGACAGGCGACACACGGAACGACCTGAGCCTGGGCCTGTCTCTCTGCGGCCTGGGCGGTCTCCTTGCCTGCGTTGCGATGGTAAAGGCAAAGACGATCCAAGCCGCTGTGTCGAGCATCGAGGAGGCCGCGGACTGCATCCGTCAAATGCCCATCCTGGCCGTGGAGCCTTGGATCTCAAGCGCAGTGAAACTTCTCTTCTTCATTCCTGGCGTTCTGGGCCTCTTCATGCTCAACGTCTCTGGGGATCTTCCCAAGCAAGTGGACTTCAGCCAGGGCAGCCCAGTTTACACCGGCGACCCTCTGGTGGCCATCTCCTTAATCTACTATTTCGTAGTCTTCATCTGGATCATGGAGCTGCTCCACTCCATCTCCCAGTTCGTTGTGATGTTCACAGCTCAGGTTTGGTTTTTCAGGATGAAGGGCTATGAGACCAGCTTTTGGGCTCATTTCACTGCCTACGACATGCTTTACGGCTTCCTTTACGGACTCAGCTACCACCTTGGCTCGCTTCTCTATGGATCCTTCCTCTGCACCCTTTTCCGTGTGGCTCGTATCTTCGCCTCCTTGCTGGTGAAGGCCTCACAGGATTCGGGCAACCCTGTGGCCGAGTGTATCTCCAAGTGCTTCTTGTGCTGTTTGTCCTGTGCCGAGAAGCTCATGCAGTATGTCACGAGCCTCGCATATTGTGACATTGTCATGAACTCTACCACATACTGTGAGGGTGCCGAGCATGCAGTACAGATTGTGAGCGGAAACGCGAGCCAGTTGGTCACTGTGGAGGGCCTGGCGACCATGTTCTCATTCGTCGGGTGCGGAGTGTCATCTGCCGCAACGGCTGCAATCTGCTGGTTTCTCAGCACAACCTTCAGCCGCTATAACAGCCCACTAAGCGACCATTACGTCCCGGACAAGCAGACCCTCGTCATTTGCTCTGCGGTTATTGGGGCTGTCATGGCGGTTCCCTTCATGCACCTTTTCGACACGATCTGCGACACCGTCGTCTACTGCAACGCGACAAGCAGCTTCCGCTTGCCAAGTTGGCAGAACTCTGGCGGCGGTGGTGGCGGATTCTTTGGATGGTTCACCGGCCACTAAGAGCTGTCTTTCAAGAAGTCGTCTCCCAGTGAGCAGGCCCTGTCCTGAAAGCATCACAGCCTCACTCAGCTGTTTGGCAATCCACGCAATTTCCTTAGCTTCCGTGATAGTTGCGGGAATTCAGCTGCCTGAAAACTGGCTGCCTGTCGCCGCAAAGCTTGTTCATGGTGAGCCTGCGTTTCCAAGGAGTGTTCGCTCCTGTTGAAATTGCGCTTCCAGAGCATAAATGAAAGGCTCACCATGTTCCGGATGGCAGGCTCCGCAGGTTGTACTGAAGACTCGTGCGTACAAAACTGCGCAGTTGATTGCACAGTTCCTGGATCTATGCATCCCCAAAGCTGGGGCAACGCAGTCTGGCCTGAACTCATGCGAGCCGTGTGCATGGTGAAGCTGTGTCAGGCCGCGGACTGGCTTGCATTCTTCGGCCTTCATCCGCCAAAAGACGCTCGCTTGTTCAAAGGAATTGTCCTTTCGAGCCATTTGAAGCCAGAAATCGAATTCTAGCGGCTCGTTGCTTCCTGCTCTTGCAAGTCTCTAGCACGTGCCGGTTCTCTTCTCCAAAGGTGGAGCTGACTGCAACGGAGGCAAGACCTTCGTCGAGGGATTGCAGGCCGGAGTTCCCTGTCACATAAATAGCTACTTTTACAGACGTCATCGCAGACTGTAAGCGCGAGACTGTGATGAAGATTATCAGTCAGCTTCGCTCATCTGAAGTCTGAGTACCTTACCATGGCAAAGTTGGACCAATGTTACGGGCATTTTTTGTTGGAGACCAAGCTTGCAAGTAATAATTTGGGCTTGTGGATGGATGGTCTCACAGGTAATTAATAAGGGGCAAGCAACTGTTAGTGTTCCTTCGGTGCTTGTGCGCAATGCTTTATTGGGGCCCTGAATGCAGGCTTCGCAAGGAAGGAAGACCTACCATTTGAGGCAAACCAGCGCAAGAGCACCTTCCCAAGATTTGCCTTCCTAGTAGCTAGAAATGTTCCGCACACATGCGTGGACAATGATGCGGAAGTTCTTGCCGCGCACGGGCTCGCTGCGTACGTAAAATGGAGGGCTAAGGACTAAGGCCACGGCCAATTCCAGAAGCATAAGCGGTATTCAAGCCTGCAAGGTTCTAGGCGAGCGGGACTTTTGTAGATGAGCCGGACTCCGTATTGAGCGTGTGTTTCAATGTTGAGACATCAGCTTAAAAGGTTGCTATCCTTCGCAATGACATGAAAATGCATAAACGCTATGCGGTCAAACTAGTGATAGGGGTTGCACTGAAACACTTCACCTATCAAGCAGCTGTCAGAAAGACAAGCTTTTGAAGTCTACACAGGGCTCTGTGTGATCGGCCAGGATGCCGATGGCTTCAGCTCCTGTTGGCCTTCGGGACCTCATGTTGGACGTCCCAGCAGAATTCTGTTGCGCTCTGGACGGCAGGCGGGAAGCAGATGCAGTGAGGCAAAGGTCTTGCATGGTCTTGGTTGGTCATTTCCTTTGACAGATTTGCAGCTGCAGAAAGCTGTGTACGCGTTCACATTTGGATGTTTCCAACTTGGATAAGGAACTATCTGCGTGGGAACGTTCAATGTGTTCCATACCCCGATCGTTCCATACGAGCTACAGTCTAAACTCCTCAAAGGGGGTTATATCGGGGATTATCTAGGGGAGTATTATAGGGGTTATTAAGGGGGATGCTAGGAGTTTAGACTACAGCTCATGGGTCAGTCTAATGAAGGCATGGTTTTAGGACAGAGCCATTTGGACTGGCAAAATAATGCCTGGGCCTCTGTGCGGAGCATCGGCTCTCCTTGCCAGGCTTCTGGTAGACCCAGTCCTGGCACCAGATGGGCGCATTTACGAGCGCTCCGTGCTAGCAAAGGCTTTGATGGAAGGACATTGCCGAAACTAACTGTATCAGTGTTCCTGCTTCGTGCTAGTGGAGTGTGCTCCAAGCCCGTACAAGTGTGGGGCCAGGTTCGCTGTAACCAGAAGGAACGCGAATGACCTGCAAAGAGGTTCAAACGTTCGAATACAACTACAGGGCGTGATCAGACAGCCTGATTCCTGTTCGCCTTGTCAAATTTTCCAGGTTTGGAGCCTTGCGGGGGTTGATAATTTGGCAAATGTCAAAGTATCACACAAGAGTGCAGATGAGAGCTTTGACAGGAGATCCCTGCGTGCTGCATGGCTGCCAGTTCTCCCTGCAAGACTGCCGAAGAGATCCAGGCCTTTGCTGATCGACGATGTCGCCACGACGCATGCTACCAGTAGGATGACTACTGTACACGTGCTGCCCAGTACGCACTCCTATAAACAACAAAACAGGCGATACAGAAAAGGCAAGACTGGCTGCATGGCATCTTGCTCTCGTTACACATGCTAGTGAGCTTGAATTGCATCTTCAAGTCTTGCAAGGCCTGAGGGGAAGGATCGTCGACTGGGTCCGCAAGACGCACTCCCAAAGCAAGGAGAAATGGCCTTTGAGCAGGGCTTACTTTGAGAGAGATTTCCTGGGGCTGGTTCGAAAAGGCAAGTGGTGTTTGTTGGGTGGTACTCGTAGCAAACCCTTCCACAAGTAGTGTTTGAGAGCAGCGAAATTAAGTTGTATTCGGGCGCAAAAGCCAATCTTGGGCCATGCATGGATACCGTTATAAGTTTTATGCATGCTGCTTTTGGTATAGGTTCTCAGACGATGCAAATCTGCATCAGGCCTGCAAGCAAAGGTTGATACCACAGGCGGTGATGTCAGTCTTCTCGATGCGTGCTGACAGATGTGGGGTGGGCAAAAGACGGAGTTCTGAATTCGCTCACGCATGGGCTAGGGACCAAGGTAGAGGTTTCCTAGACGGGTTCAAAAGCCATGGGTCGCCGCGGACCGACAAGCTTAAGGTGTGCCTGCTTTGTGTTGACCTGGTTTCTCCAACCGGCACAGGATTCTCAAGAGAGCAGCTTCGCGGCCACGGCTGCAGACTGGATAAGTGACTTTGCGGTGAGGGCGGGGTCAGAGATGGCGGCCGCAACTGCGGGCCAGGAGGAGGTGGAGGAACTGCAAAGGGTGACGAGGCTCGCACTTCTGGCCTACGAGGAAGACTTATGGGCTGTAGATCGACAGCTGCCGGCTGGCCTGGCCTTTCGAGCCGCAGGACGTGAACGTGCAGTATGGTTCATGGCCCAAAATCTGAAAACGGTCTTCCTGGGTTTTTAGGGGCACGCTGGAGTGGAAGGATATACTTGCCAATTTGCATGTTGCACCTGACTTGTCTGGCAAGCATAGGGTGCATGGTGGATTCGCTGGTCATGTAAGCAGAGAAGCAAATCCTTTGCTGGAGGCGGAGTTGAAGTCGCTTTCGAATACTGATCTTCACATAGTAGGCGATTCTCTGGGAGGTGCCATGGCTCTAGCTTTGCTTGCGTCTGGCTGGCTGCCACAAGAGCTGAGACATGTTGAAGTGACCATGATTGGTTCGCCGAAAGTCTTTTATGGCGTGGCTCCTTCTGTGAAGGAACTGGGAGCGAGGAAGGTCACATTGCTGGTGAACCATGGTGACATTGTGCCGCGCCTTCTGGGCGACCAGAAAGTAGATGTCACCCGTTACTTGAAGCAGTTAAGGCAACTTGAAATTGGAGATGAGGATCTTCCAGCTCTCGCCGGCTACAAGCACCCAAGTGGTCTGGAAATGATTGTCTTGCGAGGAGCTATGGCATTGAAGCCCAGCCCAATATTTCACGACGACATTTGGCTGGATCCAACGGCCCTCTCGGGCATGAAGAAAGATCCCTTCACAGACCACCAGGTAGCAGAGTACGTGCAGGCACTCGACTCTTTGGACCCGTCTGAGTTGGGCAGATTGGGGCTGCTACAGAATCTGCGTGATTGGGGTGCCGCCATCTTTGCCGAGACTTGCCCTGCTCACTCTTCGGACATTCGTTGCGGCTAGGTGTTTTGCAATCTCTGCCGTTGTACAAGTGTTGTACAGAAGCATCTTGTGTGGCCAGCGTTATCTGCCACACCACAGCGGCAGCACTAGCGCGCTGACAGCAAGCGTACACAGGTGCTGGCCCAATCACCATCTCTTGCACTGTTCTGGCTTTTCCATTGTGCCTGCCTTGATACGGGCAGCAGGAGAGTTTTGACCTTGGCCGATTTGCTCAAAGCTGGTTCAGGATAGCTGGCTCAGCTTTGACATACCAACACACACACAGTGGAGGATGCCATCCACGCCGCATATCTCCGACGCCAACATGCCCTGCATCCAGTTTCTGAGCATGCATGAAATAGAGCCCGAACAGGATTGGATAATGAATAGCATGGAATCTGGGAGTTAATGCTGAATGTTTCCTTTCGGCACACAAGCTTCGGTATTGATAAAGCAGGGCGCAGAGACGTGCTGCGCAGCATGTCATGCTCCTGGTCCGACTGGCGCAGGACTGCGTGCGGGTGGAATGGCTGTTGATGTTCCTTCAAATGTAGACTACTGTAGACCTCCACCAGCTTTCTCAGCCCCAAAGGGCCACCAATCTTGAGCCCTTCGCAGAGCCAGACTCTCACCCCTCCCAATCTTTCAGTCATACCATCTTGCAAAGCTGGACAGAAGGCAGGCCCCAGCATTTCGGGTCGAGTTGCGTCAGCTGATGTTAGCTGTCATAATGTGTCGAGCATGTATGTATATTGGTAGTATCTTACTAAAGTACCGAAACCCGCTCTTGGTCCGGAAGGTCGCTCCTCGGCTTCAGAGTGTTCTCGGAGGCTGCTGCCGCTGTGGTCTGTTCATCGATGTCAGGTCGCTGGCAATTATCCAGACATTCTGAACCTTTTTGTAGGGTCTCCCTTCTGCCCGCTTGGAAGCATGCCTAGGAGAGTGTCCCGTGACAAGCTGGGAATGGGATTGCGTTGCGTTCTCCCCTAGCACTCAACTGTATGTTAAGCGCCTTCAAGCCGTGAACCGTTGAAGTCCTTCTGGTTCAAGTCATTGGCTTCTGCCTTCTGCCTTCTGCAGCCATGCATCTTGACTGCAGATGCGGGTTCGAATGGACATGAGCCGTCAGCCCCTTTGCTGAAGAAGCATTCATGACGCTTCTTGAGGTCTTCGCTTGCACCAACGCTTTGCCGCGGATTCCGCAAGGGCATGGTGCCCCCCACGGTGACAGCTGTTCAGAGGAGGCTGGTCAGACGCAGGGGTATCGTTCAGCTGAATAGTTTTTGTTTTTCAGATTCTGTCCTGGCATGTGCCGCGCAGAATGCTTTGGCTAAGGCTTCTGAAGGCATCCCGAAGCAGTTACCTCAGCTTTGCAATTGACCTGGGCTCCCTGTTCAGGTTCTTGAACTTGCACGAGTACCAGGCTTGGAGTCCACAATTTGTCCACTAATGCCCGTGCAAAAACATGGCATGTCAGAAGCATGAAGCCAGAGCTGTGGCCACTGGCTCTGTGCAGGCCCAGATCATTTTCCAGAAGCTGCTCAGTTGCAGTGTTCGGGATATGAACGCTATTTGAGGTCAGGGCAAAGAAGTTGGGCCAAGCAAGGGGGTCACGAAACTCAAGCAGCAACATTCCTTGGCATGTTTCAAAGGCACATTGAGCAGCCTTGCAATTGAAGCTGCTAAATTGTTGAGAGAAACCCCGCACCACTGGCCGCGCATTTCTGAGTCTGTTGGGGTGATGATGATGATGATGATGATGATGATGGTGATGATCATGATGCCTTGGCCTGCGGTCGCCGTGATCGTATAGCCACCGTTGGAGGCTTTGATTCTGTGAGCTACTCACCACGCAAACCTTGGCCATGCAACTGTATGGAGAAGGTTCGGAGTCGGAGTGCCAAAGAACCTGCCGGCTTTCTCTGTCGCGGAAGCAGTGGAGAAGGCCAAGGAGATCCCGGGCGACGAGATCGTAGCTGGGGCCTCAGCCTCCCTGCAAAGTAAACACGAGCGAGTTGCAACACGTGAGGAAAGCAACAGTTGCCGATATACGAGGCCTGACTGTGGCTCCTCCAGCCCCGCACCAACTTAAGCTCCGAAATCTTTCCGACAAATGGGCCTGCGAAACACCAAATGGCAACCAACGTAAATGAAATAAAAAGAGACAACAACAAAACAACATCCTGAAGTGAGCTCTTGCGTGGAGCCCCCTCACAATTTTGGTCACAGTCGAGCTGCGGCATTCATTATTCTCCCGCGCTCCACCGGTGCCTGGTTTCCTGGAAGACAGTGAGGGCCACAAAAAATCACGCTAATGAGGACAAGCAATGAACAACAAAGATCGAACAAAAGAAGGAGCAACCGAGCAATGTAAATAATCGAGACAAGTAAAGAAACAAACAAGTAAACAGACAAAGAAGGACGTAAGCAAGCCAATGAAGAAAGATATAGAAACCAAACGAAGGAACATTCAAACAGAAAGAACGATGAACCGAAACACGGAACTGAAGAAGGAAGGAAAGAAACCAAAGTAAGCGCGAAAACAAAGCAAAAGAGAGGTCCAAGAAACCCACAGCAATCAATCGCTTGTTTGACGCTCTGGTGAAGGTATGTGAATTCAGAGGTTCCGTTTGAGACAGAGATTGAGAGGACAACCTCTTGTGCCCCCGGTGGTTTTATTGCGCCGTGATTGCTGGTACTTGCCGGTATACTCAGCATAACCATTGCATCAACAAGAATCACATCGACCCTTCAAACCTAAGTCATCCCAAACCCTGAGTCCTATCTTGCAGTGATCATGAGCCCAGATGGCGTGCAAGGGCTGACGTGGCCAGAAGGTTCGAAACCCTAGCAACCTCCGAACACGAGAAATCCTTTCAAGACAACTCATCATCCATCTTCTTCAATTCGGGGGGGTGCTGCAGCTGCGCCCTCCTACCCCCCTTGCTGCATTGAAAACTAGAGAAGGGGCACAGTACCTCTGGAACTTCCAGCCAAAGCTCAGCAATAAGACTCTATCTCTCATCGCACCCGCTCTGCTATTTTGTCACAGAGAGCCACAATATCTGGCCAATCTTTTCAAAACCCAGGAAGAAATTTTATGGTGTCAATTTCGCCCATGTTTTGCAAAAGAGGCGGGCTGCACCATCCAAACCCCACGGCTGTTCTAACAGCACACAATTTCTCGGAAATCTCATCAAGACTTATCTTCCTCTGCATCTTCATCTACGCTTTGCAAAAAGGGGGGGCGACCCCGCTGTTTTTCTAAACACTTACGAAGTTTGATAATTTCATGTTTTTTCATGAACGTTTTGCTCATGCGGGGGTCTTCTCCAAAAATGTGAAGACTCTAAGCGAGAAACCCCATTTAGGCTGACATATGACATATGAAGATGCTCCACGCAAGAGCTTGGGCTTCAGTCTTTTGCAGTCTTTTTTCAGAAGGTTTACTGCATCCACGGCATGTTTCTTGTACATTTTGCTCTAAATACCTGACTCTTCAGTGTCCTATCTAATTTTGAAATATGCATCATTGTTGTGTGATCTTAGCCGTCGGCGTCTAAATGAGTCTCTCTGACACGCTTAAAGTCCACTCTCCCATATCTCCATCCCGCATGCCTTTTGAAACCGAGGTGAAGGCCCAGGTGCTGGCTGGTGGCCGTGGCTTAGGTCACTTCAAGGCCGGTTGGAAGGTGGGTGGAGGTTAGGAAGAGACCCTGGGCAGTGCGCAAAGTGCAGAAGGGTGCCTGACGTTAGCAGCTTCAACTAGTAACTGCATCTTTCGATTCATGTGCAGCTACATAGCTCAGCTTTCAGGAGAACAGCTTCCAGGGCGGTGTTCACATCGTGCCCAAGTCCAAGGTGGCAGAGATTGCCGACAAAATGCTTGGAAAGACGCCGTGCTCTGAGAGTTGGGTTTGAAGTCCTCGAAATGTGTCACGTGGGGATTCCACAGCCTCGGAGCCTAAGCGAAAAAGCCTTGCATTCCTCGTGGGAACTTAAATGTTCCCATGACTTGCAGAGTAAGTAATGTAGCCTCGAACACTCCCAATTACTTTTGGGTAGGGGTCCCAGCAAGGCTGATCACCAAGCAGACCGGCGAGGAGGGCAAGCCCAACAACACGTGCCTTGGCGTCAGCTGACGGGAGCCGGCAATCTCTTCAAACGTAAGCCTCCAGATGCCCCCAGATTGACACCGCTTTGGCCTGGGGTTCGAGCAACATAGAATCACAGACCTTAGCTGCCTGAGGGTGCTCCTGGCTGAGAAGGTCTCCATCAAAGATGAGCCTTGTTCCGCAATTGTGCTTGACGTTATGCGGGGACTTGCTGAGTGGTCGCTTTTCAGCGATTTGCCTCATCTTTTGTCGGCGTTCAAGATGCTCGCATGTTTATTGGCAGAGCTTCTTATCTGTAAGAAGCCTGAGTGAAAAGTAGAGTTGCAACACCCTTGCATCCAGCCATTAACATGCAGAACTCAAACTCTAGACCTGCACCCTCAAGCTCAAGAACGGGGGCCCATTTTTTTAAGGATTTTTTTGTTTCTTTTTGGGATTTTTTTTGTTTCTGTGGTTCCTGCTC